TTTTTCCTTTGTTACCGCGCGAGAAATTTCGCGGATACGAGCAATTTACCGGTGTTGAGTAATAAGCCAAGCGTCCTCAACTGAAAGACAGTTAAGTAACAAACTTCGGTTAACAAATCTATCTTAATTAACGCCCGGGTGTTTTCGCGTTATCGCGTATGTAAAATTGTTACGATTTCACCGAATTCTTCGCCACGATTGTTTCATGCATAAATTATACGAAATAATACCAGACGATCGTTTGATCGTGATCAAATGGTAACAAAGTCGTTCGAAAATCGAAAGATCGCCGGTGCAGTTAATTATTGCTTTCAATTTCGTTTCCGATCTGACGTTCGAATCTATCGAACCAATTGCCAACGTGATTTTGAAAGATCCGCCTCTCGTATTTCACCGATTAACCTCTGATCTAAGCTCGAAGTTTATCTTGTAATGATTAACTTCTTGGAACCGATTTCTGCCGTTAGGTTGCCTACCATGGTAGTTTTGAAACACTGTTATTTTCTTTAACCACTGGAGCTACGTACTATGCAGCCATTAATTTAATTTTTACCCCTTTAATTAACTTCGCTTTACTTAGTTGCGATTCGTTCGATCCTTTCTGGCAAATAAAATGTCAATGTTCGACGAATGTTTTATCACTAAAGCGTGAATTACGTTGTATACAAATTTTTAACGCGTTGAATTTTACTTTAAACTCGACCAGATTTTATTAGATTTGATTATCAAACTCGAGACGAATAAAGAAATTCTCGAAAAGAGTCGAACAATTCCTAACTTTGTTCAATTTGAATTAGAAACAGTAGTGGTCGATTCAAATTCCAGTATTGTTTTCTTTTCTAATCTTCTATTTAACTTGTGTTACATTTTGGTAATTGATCGAACATTATCGATCGAAGGAAAATTAACGAAATTTTATTAAAACGATCTGGCTACATTCTGCTTTAGACTATAAGCTAACTGCAACTGTAGCTGCAGCTTCAAGTAAGTTACTGGTTAGAAAGGTGATGTGGTATAGTGCAGTACGTGCGTATGTGTGTGTTTGGGTGTGTATAGTGTCCGCTTATTTTACTTTCCGACATAGATTTCCCAATCCGAAGTGACATGGGCGTAGAAGATTTCGCATGACTATTCCAGTTTGCTTTACTTTCTTTTCTATCGTTATCTCGGTATACCTTATTTAATACACGCATGTATATACCGAATTAACGTGTTTATACACTTTTACAGTCACGGTAACAGATACAGTTTGCAAATTCATTCCTTTATAAATGTTAAATGACTTTTCGCAGCTCTTGCGCTCGAGACACTCGTAAAATACGAAACTCGTACTTATTGGTTATAATAATTTTACATAAATTGCAGTTATTTCAAATATTTCCAAGACATGGCCTTGTTCGAAGAAACAGTTCGTTCCAGATTTTTGCCCCTCGCTGGATAAATGAAAGGGACTTGTCAGTTTTATTTAGTTTCCCCTCCCAACAACATCATTGCTATATTACACTGTAATATTCATCGAAAATCTCTTTATCTGTTAAATACGTTCGTTTAAATTCCTTTTATTAGAGCAGTGTTTAAAACTAATCGTGTTTTACCCCTTTTGAAGGAATCTTAACTTCTTTTAAATCGTACGTGTAATTGAAACGGAAACGAAATGTTACAAATTGGACGGTTGCGTTATTTGGACTTAAACTTTCCATAGAAATTATCTTAAAAGGATACAAATTATCTTCCATCAATTTACAGTGATATTGCAGAGGAAATAAAAATAGAAATCTTATGCAAATCCGGTAAACTGTTAACCGGAAGCCAATGCAATCGGACGATGACTTGGAAAGTCAATGAAACCCGTCGATCCACGACGGCCTGTGCATCCTTACTCCTCATTATTATGACTAACTGACTCTACTCTCTCATCATTTAGGAACCTCAGAATCGAGTCGTAATCGACGGGAAATAACGTCACGGCTCTTTCAAAATCTCTTCCAATAAGAAACCACCAAGGACGAGGTTGTGATTTCCCTCGAAATGAAAGCAAACTTTTATTGCACAAATTCTTCCGCAGCTGAAACGATTTCTAAACGTCTGATATTATTGTAATTATTTTAATTCCAACGTACGTTGTTTGTTTTCTTTTCTTAAACACCGTTATTTACAAGTGCGCCATAAGCAAAGTAAAAATTAAGTAACTTGTCTCAATCGTTCTTCAGTTCTACTTAAAGCACTGCGAGTAAACGTGTACTTTAAGTGAAATGTATTTTCTTCGTAGACTTTCGCGTTTTGGAACAAAAGGTAAAGTAATTGAACTCGCAAAAATGTAATATACACTTGACGAAACGTTGGTGATATCATATTTTGTGGCAAGAATAAGGAAAACATATCATCTTACGTTTCCTCTTGCGTGATCGTTGATCCATAAAAGTCGTTTGTATATCAAATGTCGGTTAAAGGTAGATAGAATGCAGTAAGAATGACAAATTTCCTATATAAAGACACTGATACTGTTTCTGGGTGCATCGATAATCCATAATAATATAAAAAGTTCACGATAAATTAGAATTTATTAGCTCTAAATAAGTTTAGTAAATCGTTATGCAAGACATATTACGCTCTTGACTCTTTTCTTCCAAAAAACTGGAACGTAAAATGTCAATGTCCATTGCGTCATTATCTATTCAACTATGCATTTCAAGAACGTCGTTGTTTTCGCATCGATGAAATCAATTTGTCATACCAACGGAACAATCATCGAAGCAAAACATAAAAGTCAAAACGCGAAAGTTTTTCATCCGCAAGAAATGATTAGAGGGTCTGAGTAAAAAGAAAAAAAAAAAAAAACAAAATGGTAATCGTTTGTTGCAAGGTCTGAAGAGTAAGGTCGACGAAGCAGGACCTCAAGTTCCAATTCCTTTGGTTTTCTACAGTGTCATTATATGCATGAATAATCTTCATCTAAAAAAAGATAGAACCTTTTCTTTTCGACCGATGCCGGACGTTTATCGTCGATTTTACCTCTACGTGTTCCTTTATCCGAATTCAAGAAGCAAAATTCAACGATGTGGATTGCACACCACCAAACAATCACTTTTATTTGGCTGTAAAAACAGTTTGAGTTCTTCGTCGCGAGAAATGGGTTGGTTTGGCTCCTTAAAAGGAGCGAATAACAGAAATCGTTGCACTGATTTCGCTAACATTCGGTCACTCGATGCAGTATTCGTTTATCCAGTCTTTTATCTCTCCGGTGCACTCGCGTGGTCGACGTGGGTTTACAAAATTAACAATTGGATTGTCTTTCATTTTGTGCAATTGGTTGATTGTAAATTAAGTAACGTTACCTGTTAAGGGTTAAAAATATTCACGATGGAGAGGAAAGAGATGGCGAGACTTTAAAATAATGTTATCATTTCGCATAATCGTTCATGAATTAATAATAAAATTATTGTCTTAAATTTATTGTAAACGGTAAAACGTTGTGCTTTCCAAAAATAAATGTTCCCATTCGTATGGCTGTCACAAGTCGGGCGATAAAAAGGTGACGCCCGTGCAAATCATGTTAAGCATACGGTTTAGGATATTAACAAGAATTTTTCACATGTGTTGAGACACGCTAATTAGTTTCACACGCACAACAATGGCGCCATCCTCTTTTCCAAATTATTCCCACAACGGATTTCACTGATGTTGAGTGCAATTATTGCGTTGCGATATGCGGGGAAAGTGTACGTGTTCATGGTAAAACATTAGTATAATGATGCACAATCATTACAGAATCGGATGATCTCGAATATTTACATTTATAATAGGAAATCAAACAAAACTTTATTCGGGAAGTAAAAGTCAAGGTTGTAAACGAAGATGCAAAGAATCCGTGATTAATTTCCATTGCATAATAGTTATACGTTTTATTCTTAAAGTCAATATCAAAGTTGAACAATATCGCTCTAAGTAGTTGGATTTTGAATTCAATTTACGTACCACCGAGGACATTATTTTCTTTTCTTTCTTTCTTACTAATCGTTTAACGATCGCGTAAATTGTAAACTTATATTGGATCAACTATTATTCACGCTTTAAAGATGTAATAAAGACGTGTATGTAAAAAGTATTGCAAAGACTGTCCTGCATTTTATAGCATAGAAAAAAATCTTTTACTATCGTAATTTTTAGATTTCGTTACGAAACTCGTGTTCGTTAAAATGCAACCGTGAAAGAAAAATAATTCCTTCTATTTCGCCAGGAAAAGTAACAGTCTGCATATTTGTATAAATTGAAACGCGAAAGTGAACCCAGTTGTCCAGGAAGCAAGTTTCTAATACAAATGCAATGCCCGTACGCACTAGTTTATCTGACGAATGAAGGAAAGTCGTGCTGCATGCTCTTAATTTTAAAGAGTAGTCCGCACTGCCATAAATCGCTCCTTAACGATAAAACCGCACCAGTTTATTTATTTACGCGAACAAACAAATCGATTCGACAACAGCGATTGAAACAGATTGATTTCAAACAAGCGATTCCCGAAAATTACAATTCTTACATACAGCTACTTTTGTACACGCTAACAAGTTCTATAAACTTAATTACACGATTAATTACACGCCACAAAAAAAAAAAAAGAGAAAAAAAAATAGTTTCACTTTTCACAATTGTCTCGTAAAAGCAACGTTACATAAAATTTATATCAAAACCTCTAATGAAAAACATTTACGTTACATTCTCGATACATGTATTTAAGGCATTGAAAAATAGAATTTCCGAACCCATGAATGATATTTAATGTTGTCTAAATCTGGAACACTCAGCGACCAATATTTGGTATCGTTTATCCTCCGATTTCTTGGTGTCGTTTGTAAACTCACACGCGATTCAAATTCGGCATCGTTAGCACATGCGCATCGTTTATCGAATTTCGAAATAATTTTCACAGAAACGTAACACAATACGGAGGTAATACCAAGGGTATTCGTCCTTGTGCCATGAAAAGGATGATGTAGTGCACTCACCTGCAAAGATAAGCAGCCACATGATGAACAAATGAGTGACGAAGCGACGAGTGAATGTTCGGCAGAAGTGAATTCCTGGTGGCTTTATAGACGAAGGGGAAAGGCCGCGCCCGCACAGACCAGGTGGGGTTGTTAACCACTTTTCCACAACGAACTGTTTCTAAGTGAGCATCACAGTGCATAAAATACTGAAAACAAAGACAATAATGTATGCCTGGCGTTACGAACATTATTTGTCCTACTATAAAGTTTTAAACCAACGGCCGTGTAAACCGATTTACACGCACTTGCCCCCCCGACAGTCCTTTTACATCCACGTCGTTTAAACAAAATACAATACGACGGGAACAGCTCGTACAACAGAATCATTTCTGATAAGCGTACACGCTTGCTTAAGATACGTTTATTTATTCCTGTTCGAAACGCGGGATACAGAATATTTACACGAAACGGAATCGTTCGATACGTTGAAGTTAAAAAAACTAGCAGTTTTTAACGTGCAGTACTCTTAAGATCATGTCTTATTTAAGTTCTGATAATATTGTCGTGCAATACAGCGATTTATAACACACTCATCTTTAGTGTCTTACAAAGACGTTATCATTCTTCCAAATAAAAACTATTAAATTCATTTTTTACAATAAAACAATTGATCAGTTATGTTAAACTTTAAAATTTTGCCGCATATACATATACGCAGTAATACAGAAATAAATATAAAAAAGAAACATAATGGACCGAATGAGGGAATGTCTACATTTTAAATATTCGTATCTTTAGCAAATTTGTACGCTTTTCAACATGTTTTGACTCTTCGATACTTACGATGTCACACGCGCGTATAATTAAAATAACACAAAATAATCAATGGCAATTACAACGTACGTGATAATAAATTTTTAAATAACGCTCTTCAAACGGCCATTATCGGTACAAATCATCTGTCTAATAAAAAGTTAATTCCGTTTTCTTCGATTAATTTTCGATTTATTGCACGAGTAGTTAATCCTACGAAGATACTTTCAAAAAGTCTGTTTTAAAAATAGCATAAACATGTAACTAATACCACAAGGTATATAATAGCGGCGAAGTCGATCGAAAGGTAAGCACGACACTGTCCGCTTAGGTGAACGCGGTACGGTGAATGTATTATAAGAAATTCGAGAGCAAACTACCGGGTCACTATAAGCTGGACCACTGTTTAGAAATACGGTTAAACAAAAATACAATGGTAGTAACGAAACTAATTTGTAACTACGAAAACGTGAACTCTTTCATATATTGAAATCTAGTTCGGCGTATTACACGCTCTTTGGTACCGAACTTACACGTTTAACACGAGCTTGCACACGTTCTTTCGCTACCTTGACTATTTTTAATAGTAACAAAATTGATAAATTCGAGAACTAACGGTATTATCAGGGCATAAAAAAATACATAGACCGAAGTAGCAATATTAAAATTAACAGTTGATTCTACAAAGTCAAGTATAATCGTATTAAATCGTGCGCCTAAACATTATCTTATAACGAACTTGTGCCTATTCTTGTTCCCAGAGTATATCAGATTAAGAACGTATAATCACAAACACTGACAAGTCGTTATTAAATTTTTGAAGTTATTAATATCCTCGGTCAGTTAAATTTATACCAATTGAACGTAACTTATTGAGTTTGTACAAACAGATACATTTATGCGTTGCGATAAAAGCTGATTTGCCGGCCATTTAATCACACATGGAGATTCTATGCGTTTGATTTTCAAACTGGATCAGTGCCGACGTTTTACTGTTGCAACAGACAATCGCCCTCGCAATGAGAATTTCTCATAGCGAGTCGTATGTTAAGTTTAGTCGTGTATGTGCACACTCGTGTGACTAAGTGCGCACGGCAGACTGTAATATAAACGCGGTTATGCTCCTATAAGCCGCCGTGGGAAAGGTAATCGGTCAGAAGAAAAGCAGACTATATAGACGTATACGTGTGTACGGGGCGGTACTCGCTTTCAGTCTCCTGTTATATGATCTAAATAATTTTACACAGCGGAAGCTGATCTGTTTTTCAAGATTCTTCTTCTATGACATAACTTCATTGAATTCCTTACAAGAACAACTTCAACGTTTAATCATCATAAATTTGAATTAGACTCGCTAGTCGAAACTTAGATTGAAATCAGACTGTTTAGTTGAAAATTAATACAATTACATTACAATTCGATAATCCTTATACATATACCGTACTCTAAGTTTTATACAATATCTGCACCGTACACCTTTGACGTTAAACATTCATAAATAATTACAATTAATCGAATTAATTTGAATGAATCTGCAACACGTTCGCGATATTTAATTATCACGAAGAACTTGTAGCGGTGGTATTATTATAAATTATTAATTAGGAAAATCGGTAACTCCGTTGGAAAATTAGTCGAAAACTTATAAAGGAGAATAACGTTGAAACTGTTATAGAATTGAGATAGTATAAATCACATGACTTCTGACAAAGATCAAAGACTAGGAATTGTATGTTGGAAACGGAACCTACACTCACGGAAGATAGTGCAAGGTGACTGTTACTTTTACTTCGTACCAATTCGCAGTAGTTCATGCATCTAGAAGTCTTAACCGTTTTATCCGAAACCCGATAATTATGACAAAACGTACTAATTTTCATGAAACGCGTGTGAAACATAAAATACAAAAGGAACAATGTTTATTTGAAAAATCAAAATTTACCTATATACAAAATGGACCATTTAAGCGAGAACTCCTACACGTCCGTTTTGTTTATGGATACACGAAGTAATCGATCAGGACAAAGTTAAATATTTGAACTATTGAAATAGAACAATCTTTGTTTTCTTAATACCGATTCTTCTTTCATCGAAAATGCATTCCCCTGAGAATGTTTCGAATGAGAAGCATAATGAAACGGTTCAGGAAACGCTTGCTATGTAACGGTGAAACGTCTGAACACCTCTGAATAAAACATAATCCTCATTAGAAAATTTGAAATATCTCGTGAAGTATGCACTTTTCAAACTCCTTTCGATCTATCTGAAACAAAGTATGTGATTCAAGTTGGTTTTTAGTATACTGGTAATAACACAATGACAAAATATATTCTTCCGTTACTAGGACATTTTGCCGGTATTAAACCGTAAAAGAGTTAATTTTGACTGCATCCTTAAATCAAATATGTGAATTTCTCATTAAAAATAATTATACTATTCTTTCTGTCATGTTCTTATCGAAGTTTCATGTTCCTATCAAGCAAGGATACTTTTAACTGATAACTAAAGAAATAAACATTGTCATTCGCAAAGGGTGGATCAGTAAAACTGTTAGAATCGTATAAATAGCATTGTTTATACGACTGTGAAATCTGGAATTTCGTTTGTAGACTTCATCCAAATAATATAGCGTGAGAGAAGTATAGTCAGCCAACCGTAACAACCGAGCGCGTGAATCAGTTATCTGAAACGGGCCGCGTCAATGCTTTTAACAGCTCATTATGATGTCAATTATGAAATGCACATCCTAGAAATAACCTTCGATAATTATTCGGAATAGGGGTCACAGCATCGATTTCAATGATGTTGAAATACACTATTGTCCAAAAGTTTAGAAGCAGTCATACTTTTTAATAAAACACGATATTCGTTTGTTAATAGATTCAAAATAATCGCCTTTAAAAGCAAAACTTTTTATTCCAAAAAGTATTCGATTTCACGTGAAATGACCCAATACTAAAAATAACTTAACGAATTGTTTAAGTCTTGTCTCTAATTCATTTATTGTATATGTTTCATTTAACATGTAACATTTTTTATTTCAATTTCTATACGTGTCACTTCCATCGTACAATACAAATGATTATCTATTTTGTATTACTGTGTAAGAAAAATTCACTTGCATTCGTTTCTTAAAAAATGACCTTTAGTTTTTATAACAAAATTTATTTTCACTGAAACACAGTTTTACGTGCTTAATTCAATTGCAAAATTCTTTTAGCATTAATTCATTCGTTTTGCTATGATTATTTCATCATCGCTATCACCATCATCATAGTTGTAATAATATTACTATTGATTTTTTTTTGTAATAAAGATTTGTTATAAAACTATAAAATATAATGTTAATTATGTAACTATTTTCTTTATTGATTCTAGTTTCGACTTCATAAGTCCAATTGTATCATATTTATAACGTATCCTGTGATAACAAAAAGAAATAAAGTGCTAACTAAATTATGCATAACGATATTTAATATATTACTATTTATATCTTTTCGAAGTAATATCAAAATTAACCCTAACAACTATTACATTTTTCCAAAAAAAATCATTGTTTACAAGATTACATTTTTTAATTCATTAGATCACTTAATATTTAAATAGAGAAAAATTATATGGAAACGCAACAAAATTTAAAATTAGTTCTGTACACCCAAATCAATAAATAATGAATACAACTCTTAAATATTACTATATCTCTCGATTAGGTTTTCGTTCTTATCACATTGAGACCCAAATGCTTAGGTAGATTCTTGATAGTGTACCAGTTTAGATACAATTATATTTGAATGCATTATTATACTTATATTTTTCCAATTTTTTTACTATACATAATAATTTAATCGTAATTTAATTAAGCATTAAATTATGTTAGAAATAATAATTAAATCTCGTAATGTTTCACCTTCATTTATTCATATTTATTGTCAATGAAACGGGTAGATTTATCCATTTAGGCGCTTGTCGTTAGTCTATGAAACGGGTAAATCTATCCGCACGGATTTCAATGTGTTAAGTGATACATCGCTAGTTTACGCGAAAATATATTTCACATTGTAGAATACGCGCTAAAAATTTCTGAAACATTTGGAAATAAATATATGAAATATTCTCTTTATTTATAGATTCAGAGGATTTCTTAGAAAAATAAACAAAGTTGTAAGGGTTAACATTACAAGTGCAAAGCAATCGGTCAAATTTTGTACAGTCGCGAAGAATATATACACAAAGGGTGGATCTCATTTTTGAAATATCAATTATCCATTATTTTTTTTAAGGAAGTTATATACATATATATTTTCGATATTCTTATTCAGAGATAGAGCAAATTCAGCGACATATAATAAGCTACGATTGCCATAAATTATAAATGGAACAATTTTGGAGGGTGAAGCAAAGTAGGTATTAACAAAAATCGTTTAAATCCACCCTAATGTACTCCATATGCAATTACGCAGAAGCTTCTGCGTTAATAAAAAAAAAAATAAAATTGTTTACTACATATTTACTACGTCTACCTTATTATTTTTAACACGTTGACAGCTACATACAAATCATGTGCTATTTATAGTTGTATTTTTAACATCATTCTTATATAATTGAATTCTTAATGGCATTGTGTTTACATATTTCTGGTCTATGAAAAGAAATAAATAGTGATTCCTACATTTACTAAAAAATGTGACATCTAAAGATACATATTTTACTTAGTAGTATATACAGAAGTACTTTTTGTTTAAATTTGTAATAGAAAATTAAGTACTCCAATGACATAATATGCTTCCGTTAAATATCAACAATATATTTTACATAAATACGAGTACAAAATTTAAAAAATCATGATGAATATTAATATAGAAGTATATTTATAGATAAACCTTTCCGCAAAGTTTTTTTCTATTTTTAATTATATTAATTAAAGTTAAATGCGTACAAAATATCTATAAAATTAGATATTTTTGATGATACAGTAATTATGTATTATTATTTTCTTTAAAAAAAAAATATAAAATTACGTTCACTTATTATATATTTCTTTTAGAAATTCATTAAATTCAGTAAAATTATTTGCAAATAATCTACTAAAATAATTCAGTATAAATACGTAAATGTACTGTGATAGGTATTTATATTTTATTACAATCTTTTATTAATTTTATTCAAGTAATAAACATTTTCATTTTATTATATGCATATTTCAGTCAACGTTTATATATTAGCTGTTCATTATAATGAATTTGTATAATTAATGGTTTTTAGTTGAGAAATGGCAAAATATTTATACATTTACTGTCCTGATGCGAAAAAAAGATTAGGCATCGTTTGCATCCCGACTTCAGTTACAGTCTACTAGTTTCCCTAGCGTAGCTAAAAAAATAAGCTAAATCCTATTTAAAAGTGATGGAAGCCAGCATAACGTGAGACCTTCAGTAGGTATCTCGTATTATGCGAAGTAGTTGGAGAAGCAAGGGGTGTCCTATTATCAGATTGTTTCTCCCACTACTCGGTACAGTACCAGGTAGTGAAGGCCCTCATGTTACGCTATCTTCCCCCATTCCTAAAAAATAGAATTTATCTTATTTTTTTGACTACGCTGTTTTATATATTTTATATATATTTTTAGGAATACGCTCGAGCTTCTCAACAAGGAAAGAAAATAAATATAACGAGAGTAAGTGAAAGAGTTATAGTAGGCCAAGCAGCGACGACCGAGGTCGCGCACTTCAAAGAGATTCCGAATATATTATAATAAAATATTTAATTTAAAAAAATATATTTAAACAATTCTATCGTAATTGAACCGTGCGTTACTGTAAACTGTAACTAGAGTCGGAATATAAACACTGCTTTACATACTTCCTCGCGCGAGGACAGTAAATACTGATATACGTTAATGTGAATTTTTCACTTACCATTTAAACAAAATAATAATTAATGGCTATTTTGGATACAGTTAAGTGCGTGGCTGTAAAAACATGTAAATTGAACGAGAAGAATATTTGCATAAACTAATAGTCAACATATATAGAACTGTATTACTGACTGTCGGGAGTTTTTACGCTTTTCTATTATAAGTTTGTTTAAACCAAGATTAAATTTTTACATTTATTTCGACTTTGAGACGGTCACGGTTCAATGTTCTGCTTTGTGCTTGTATCAAGCCAACATATCATAATCTAACATAATTTTTATACGGTTTCCTTCTTTTATGAAGAAACAATTATCCTGAAAAACTAACTCTTTTCAATAGCGATCAACGTGTTAAAATTAAATTATTTGAATCTGTCATAACGATCACGAAAAGTAACACACTTTAAGTCAATTGAATTGCACTATCTTTCATTTTTTTACTCTTTTTCTTCACAGTCTTAACTTTCATAATAGTTTTTCCAGCCTTTCCCTTGATGGGTATGGTTTTTTCCTTTAACGACTTCATTTGTAACTTTATATCAGTTTTCGATAATTTCTTGTTGTTTATACTCCTTACACTGAGCTTGCTGTTCTTTTTAACTTTGGTAGCGGTTTGAATGGTTGGACCGGATCTTACACAAGATCCGGGAAGCTTGTACTAGGCGGAAACCTTCACTTTTTTCTTCCGCTTCTTCTTCTTTTTGTCGTGATGAATTTCTTGCTTTTTGGCTATACAAAAGCGGCAGTACCAATCCTCGTTGTCAGCCGGTGGTACTTGCATACCAACACATACCCTGAATGATTGAAAATGTATGTATATGTATAGATTAAATATAAAATACGACTACGAATTAAATAATCCTTGTCGTAAAATATATTTTTGATTTTAATCTATATTAGGTATAAGTGAATAATCTAACAAATTTGCTTCTGTGTCATGAGATTTTATGCTTTGGTTGGTATACATTTCCCACACAATTAAACAAAAATTCAAAAATGCACATTTTTAACTGTGCGACATTGGATTCAAATGTATAAAACAAAAAAGTACTTACCAATGGTACCACGCGTCACAATCATCACAACCAACCATTGGTGATCCATCATCCTGATTGCCACAAGCAGGACATATCCAAACCTGATGACCACCTTGATCCTGAAAGACTCATATCACGATAAAAACACAATAGACTTTGCTTTTACTACATTTATGGGTAACTCAACCCATCTTTTGTATTATCAACAATACGTTTCAAAATATAAAACTGTATTGAACAGTTTAAAGACAACTGTATAATTTATATTAAATCTTTAATGGACACGTGATAAAAACGTTTATACCTTTTAGTTTACAAAATATTCTACAAATGTTATTTTTATTACGCATAAAGACAATTCTGAGTAAAAAATATAACAATTTGTAAGAATAATTATGTATGAAATATTAAAAATAACTATGATGCATGATATACGATTGTGAACACATGAGTATGTAATATGCTGCTAAAATGAAATGATTATGACTTATTAATATTAATGATTTATAATAATGTATAAATTATCCATTATGAAATCAAAATATAAATAAAAATTTGTATTAGCACATCATATGTTCTAAAAATAATATTGAATTTACATGATCATCAGAAAGTACTTTTGTAGTACTTTCCATTATAATGTATGAAAATATATGATCTATTTTCGGCACTGTAAACACAAATACTAGGAAAGGATTTACATGTTTTATATAAAAATTAGGTTTCGGCTTGCGGTAATAAAACAAATTTTCACTTGACCCATAAAGGAATATCTTATGATACATTGTTACTTGAGTTATTTTTTAATTAACTCAGACAGAGACCAAGTTCATCAAACCAAGATTTAAAATATTAGCCTTCTTAGTTTTATTAAATTTAAAACTAACGATTTTCTCGGTATATTTCAGTAATTTTCCACCATTAGGAAAATGTTAATTTCATACAACATATACACTCAATACAAATGCACCTGATTTAATTTACTTATATATTCTACAAATTAAATTTGATGTTTCTAAAATTGAAACTAAAATGGCGTACCTTATATATAAATTATAAACAAACATTTGTAAAAATCATTTCATAAGACAATGCAATGTGGGAATATTGAGATTAAAGTTACATGCTGCAAATACCTAACGTTATTGCATATACATTTAACTTTAATTTCCTAAACGTAACTTTTAAAAAATAATGAAAATATAAAGGTATTGAAAATAATTCTATTTTTGACTACGGAATTATTAACTCCCTATATACTTGTATAGTTATTGAAATAACTATATTATAAAGCTATTAACTATTGTACATAAAAATATTATTTTTAATTTTTCTACAGTATGATTGTTGCGTATGTATAATACTTGTCAATTTTTGTTAAATTATTTCTTTAACAAAAGAGAAATTATTAATAATTATAATATTCATGAACTATATTTTATAAATATATATAAAACTATAATAAAATAGAAAAATCGTAAATCGTAAATACGTATTTGAAATTCAAGGGATAGTAATTCTAAAAAATCAAATCCAATTACACTGACTTTAAGATAACTAATTACACAATAAGTCATATCTTATATTCATATCCTTTTATATATTAAATAAAGTTTTCTTTCCTTCAATTCTTTCTTTCATAAAGAAGTATATAGCACTGCCTAACTTCAATTTGAGTTTGAAATTAAGATTATATACCACATATATTATGAGAAAAGAGAAATGTTTCTGAAATTACAAGTTTTAAATTGAGGACTCACTGTACTTTAAGCAATTTGCTTCAATGCTAGTACGTTAACGTCCCATAACATAATTTTATTATGTTGCATGGTTTATTGCTGTATAAGTAATAAAAACTTCAAGATCACTGATGTAATATATCATCATAAGATTTGATGGCACATGTAAACTCCAATAAAAATACTGATCATTAGAAGTTCAAAGAACATCACATAAAATCTGCAACAATTTAACTACTAATACTATCATAAACTCTTTTGATACATAATTTGTTTTTTGGTTCAAAAATTGATTTAATAATGCAGTATATACAATAACTAAACTTTCAATTTAATACAAAACAGATTTGTTGGGAACTGCAGGAACTGTGTTCTGACTTTAAATTTAATACATAATCTGAAATGATATGACAAATTAGGAAACAGAATTCTACATTCTATCTCATATTGCATACAAGACACTGAATAGAACATTATAACAATGATCATTGTCAATAATTAACTGCTAGTATTATGTGGCAACAACTATAATAGACACATATTAAAAGGGTTGGTATCTCAATTTCTAGTTTTAGTTTCCAAGTAAAAATTAAATGCATATGTATCTAACTGTTATAGTATACAAAACATTTAATTAGCGATTAAGTATACGCACATGAAAGAACAATGTTCATTCAATTTATAATATCACCAAATTCTGTGTTGTTAAAAAAGTTATGAAATGCTCTGTATTATAAAGTTTGACTACTTCTACATTAATTTAATAAAATCTGTATAATTGTACAAGCTGTAAATATGATTAAGAATATAGCTTTGTGCATTGCATTTTAAAAGAATCTGGTTGAAGTCAAAATTTTGAAACTGAAACTTAAAAAATGCCTTAAGGATCACATAAATTCAGGCAAGAGCTAAAGGCAACGCAGGAATCCATATATTTCTATTAAATTGGAGTAAATGGAAAATAGATTATCATTGTACAAAGAATACCTAATGACTTTTGTTTAGAATGGGAATATACTCACCACAGTAGTGGTTGGTGTTGTGGGCAGCACGATCCTGCCATTTTCTTTGTCTTCCTTAGCATCATCCTTTTTAAGAGCTGCATCTGCTTTCGTCTCTGTGCCGTTAAAACCGTCGGTTATATTCCTAACTGTTTTGCATGCTATGTTTAATGACAACATGCAAATCGCATGCAATCAACCAATTCTTCACTATTTTGTAGATTGCTTAATATCTCCTTTCCAGTATTATAAGTGTATTTTTTCTGTAGTTGTCCATTCTTTTTCCCCGTTAATTTGTACATTCTTTGAAATTTAAATTACCTAATTTTGCTATAACAAGAAGACAGAACAGCAAAGTATTTTACCTTTATTTGTTTTTAAGCCTTTAGTGGATCCAAAATAGTTTAAACATTGTTTAAGTTTTTCTAAATAACTGCCATACCTAAACTTATTAATGATAAAAAGCTCTTTTTTCAAATATGGATGGATCAGGTCAAGATAAATACTATAATCTTGAACATATGTTGCTTTTCAGTAACTAAGGAGAAAATTACATTTAAAAACTGATATAGTATTACATCAAGGATTCCCAACTTTATTATCTAGAAAGATGTACGTCACTGGTCACAAGAGTTTCAAAAATATCCCAATTTCTAGTAAATTCATATATTTTTATATTTTATTAATATCCATATTATTTTAAGATTCTTCTAGTATTAAGGTACTTTTAAATTCTAAATATAAACTAGTATGGTTTTTCATACAATTTTCTGATGATTATTGATTCTTTAATGCAGTGATAATAAAACTAGTTGCACATGTAGTCATTTTAGAAGTTTTGAATATATAATATTGCATGGTTATTAAAATACTTTGTCTCATTTATAAGTACATATCTTAAACCAATTTAGCTTTTAAAAAAGCAACATTATTCTGTTATCAATTTTTTAGAATCTAATTTTTTCATTAAAATTAATTAAATAGTTAAGAAAATATGTTCTACAAAAATATGTGAGAATTTTATAGTATTTACGCAATTTGAAAATAAGACATCGTTTATTACAACATATATATAAATTTAACACTTATGTGCATGCATATAAGCCACAAATAAATTTAATTGAAAGTATCACGGTACACTAAGCTCAATATTTAACTTTTATCATAAGTAGTTGAAAAGATTAGTGATCTATAACTACATAAAAGAATGAAGAAAAATTTGACATTTCAGAAATGAATGAATACAGAGTTTTCAAATCCTTGAAAATGCTACATAGTTTGTGCAACTATTCTAAATGGTACAATTAATTACATTATAAACAATGTATAAAAGATAAAATCATAATTTAAATCAAGAAAAATCTATTAACTAAATGAGGTTTTATCAAAAGAGATACAAAACCAAAAACGAGTAAAAAAAAATCTTTAACTTAAACTTTGCTTTCTTGCAGAATATTTTTGTTTGAAACAGAGCATAAAACTAATGACATGAGAAAGGTATTATAAATATATTTGGTACTGTATTTATATGTGTTGATCACTGTAGATTAATGTTTTCTATAGAACTTTGCAGGGCTTATAGCTATTGAATAGTGTTCTACCACTTTGATGTTGAATGTTTCAAAAACACTATAGTTCTATAAAAATGGCACCTAATAACCCAGACCACTGATTATTTCGAAGATATTCGTATAATTCGATAAAATAGGACACTATTTATGATAGCGATGTATATAATATTATACGAAAAATTTGAAAAAAATAAGGAACCATTTAAATTGCACATATTACCTATTAAAAGTTGATACTATGACTCGAAATAATTTATTTAGAAATTACAAATATGTCTTGTATAACTTTAGTAAACTAACTCACATATTTAAGATGTCATATTCAAAAAATTTTAATTAGAAAAAAGAGAATAGTATTATTATTAATTAAATGTATGCAGATATCTGATAATTTTAGATACGATAACGTCGAGTATTTTATATCGAATTCAGGTCGAAATCCTAAAAATTTAGTTGCCGAAGCTCAATACAACGAAGATTTTATCTGATTGTAATAGTATTCAAATTTTCGAACTATAACGTTTTATACAGGGTGTTCGGCCACCTCTAGCAAAAATTTTAATGAGCGATAGTAGAGACCAAAATAAGACGAAAATCAAGAATACTAATTTGTTGATGGAAGCTTCGTTAAAAAGTTATTAACAATTAAATTCAAAAATTTCAAATCGTTCTGGAAAAATTATTTTCGGTTGCGGAGGTCAACTACAATCATTTTTGGTGAGTACACATACCTCCGAAATCCTATCTACTTTCGAGAAAAAAAATCGAGTAGGTGCTGAAATTTTTCGGCGAAAAAAAATTTTTCAAATCGTTTTAAAAAAATTATTTTCGGTTGCGGGGATCAATTACAATCATTTTTTATCATTACACATGCCTCCGAAATCGTACGCACTTTCGAGAAAAAAATTCCTTACTGAAAATCCAATTAGGTGCCTAAATTTTTCAACGGAGAAAAAAAATTGCAAATCGTTGTGGAAAAATTATTTTCGGTTGCGGGGGTCAATTACAATCAGTTTTTGTCATTAGACATACCCACGAAATCCTGCCCACTTTCGAGAAAAAAAATAGAGAAGGTGTGAAATTATTCGAGAAAATTAAAAAATTGCAAATCGTTGTGGAAAAATTATTTTCGGTTGTAGGGTTCAATTACAGTCATTTTTGGTGAATAGACATAACCCCCGAAATCTTGCGCATTTTCGAGAAAAAAATTCAGTAAGAGCGGCACTTTAAACGTTAATAACTTTTTAACGAAGCTTCCACCAACAAATTAGTATTCTTGATTTTTGTCTTATTTTGGCCTCTACTATCGCTCATTAAAATTTTTGCTAGAGGTGGCCGAACACCCTGTATAATGACATGGTTTTAAATATTAGAATTTTCTATATTAATATTGTGTATTTATGTACATACGTATAGTTGCAAAAAACAATTCCAATTATTCTTTATACAGAACTTTATATTGAGTAGTACTATAAAAAATATAAAAAATATTAAAAAATTGCATGGATTAAAATATTAACAAATATAAAATTCGATATAAAGAGTAACTAAAATTGTACTTTGCAATTACACATAAATGCAGAATAGTATCATAGAAAAAAAAAGTATTTAAAACCATGTACTTTTGTCTTATAACATTCTTTCTTTACATTTAATTTTTCTAATAATATGGACTGATTCATATGTATGAAAACCTTATATACTGGTTGGCTTTTTAGAAATAGAATCCCTATTTCCTTATTATTAAAGATGTAAAAATGTGATAAAGTTCAATAGTTTTGTAAGATAAATGAAGAACAGTGATAATTTTTCTCTAAAAATCACTATTTATTAGAATAATTTAAGTATATTACGTATATCACTTCAAATAGAATCTATTTTTTCTATAATGTACTAGCAATTGTTTTTGTAGACAAAATTTAATAACCAGTGATACGTACATACTTTATCGTGAAATTAGTCAATTATCTCATTCTTTACAATAATAATTTTTCAATGTTAATATCAATTTGTGAAAAAATGTAAAAGCAAGGCAAACTAATAAATCTAATACTGAAAAAATCATCAATGTGAACAATAATTATAAAACATGATACAACCATCTAATTTTACAATAAAAAAAATATATATATATATATATCAAGGATTAGTACATTTGTCTGAAAAAAGTTTTTAATACCATGTAGAAAAAATGTGGTTCCATTTAAAGAATGTATATATCCTTCATTATTCTGGAAACATTCCGAAAAAATTATCTTTATACCTCATTTCTTCAATAAAATCATCCAAATATTTAACATTTTTAACAGCGAAGGAAGTAACTAAATAATGCCCTGTTTCTAATGAAGCATCCTATAAAAGTATAAAATTGTTCCTTTATTTACGCTAATTCCTTTCTTTCGTAAAATATTTTTCATTAAATATAATTTTGTTTAAGCTACTTAAAATATACCATAAGTGCATTTGCATTGCAAGAGAAAATATTAAGAAAAGAAGAGAAAGTTTAAAACCCAATTCAATAGAAGTATAACATAAGAAAGATCTTAGAACTAGGTTTCTTGACATTAAATACATTTATAATTTACGTTTATCGAGTAAACGTTGGCATTGCAATAAATTACAATTATAATAAAAACACCTCCAAAATATTTGGAAAGAGTTAAGTTCTGAGACTTCTTTCAACGTTAAAAATTCCACCTGATTAACTTGATAGAAGTGCTAAACTTTGAAATAATTAAGTTGATTTGTAATTACAACATGAAATACATAACAAATCTAATGTAGCTATGAAATTGTTCTACATATATACTTTAGACAAACGTAACTATACAACAAAGCAGGCCAAATGAAAATTATACCGTCACCGCAAGTCATGAATGCATAGAAAATAAAAAATGAAGTATTGAGGAAACTGGAATTTTTGGATGAGGTGAAATTCGAATGGTACTGATGGGTTGAGTTAATCATCGTAGTAAAAGTAATATCAATTACATATGTATGTAATGATATCTGATATACAATATGCAAATAAGATCTTTGTTTAAAAGAAACTATTTATATAATTTTCTTTACTTGTTATGGAATATGTGATGCAAATATTTTTAACTATTATAATAATGTAAAAACATACCGATCAACATAAAATAGCTCAATAAATAACTTATTTAACTTTAGTTTGAATTTGAATTCGTGAATAAAACAAAAGAATAGGGTTGTCACCCAAGCTTATTTTATAGTTTATTTTAATCGTAAAATTTCCTGCACTAATTTCTTTTTACTTTTGTCAATTCAGATATTTCTTTCTTTATAAGTTATTATTAAATTAATGTAACAATTCTTTAAAATTATGTATGAAATTACATAATATGAAGGTATGTTAGATCTTTGTAACAATATTTTGTAAACTCAGAATGATTTATTCATACGTATGTGAAGAATAATGAACATTATAAGAAAGTCTAATTGCATTTGATTGCAAAAACTTCAACACACTTATACTCATGAATACATAGATAAATGAAAACTCATTGTATGTCTGAATCATCAAATATAAATGACAAAGGCTTCATCGATATATAACAAAAATTCAAGAAAAAATCAAAATGGTCGTAAACATATTCCTTTTGAAATTGTAAGCGGTGACACCCCTAAATGTAGAATTTCAAAATTAGCTTCATATATTTTAGTTCATGACGTGTAAACATTTGAAAATATAATGTTTCCTAATATTTGAAAAATATTTTTATCGTATAAAACGTACTTACAAAATAATACGGTGGTTGTTGTTGCATCAGAGGAATTGGGAGCTTAGGAACAGGATCAAAGTGAGATGGAGGAGTCTCCCTTTGAGGTAAGGCTTTGAAGTGAGATTTCTTTGCTCGAGGAACTGTTGCGAGTGGCACACTAGTAAGATTGGCAGAGAAAGTATCTGTAGGAAGAGCAGGGCTTCCATCTAATGTTCCCTCCTCTGTTTTCTTACTTGCCGACTTTTGCTTTGGCGGTCGCGTTACTAATGCTGATATTTTCGCTAATTCTGGACTTGGTTCCCGTTTCATCTCCTCCTCAGGCTTCTTCAGCAATGTCTTTATAGTTCTATAACACATTTCCCTAATAATAATGTATGTTTTATTACATACAATAAAATATATGTAATAGAGTCAGTTTGACAGGAGCATGTACATCAAAACTTTTTCTTGGAAATTGGAGGGAGGGGGGATTCGAATACGAATAGATACACTTCCATAGAAAAATAATTATAAAATTAATATACAAAATATTCATAGTGCATTTTCATGAAATATAATAGTGTGATAAAAAGAATAACAATTATAAACTTACATTTTTTTCATTGGTGCAGTATCAGGTGTTGGTGGTCTTGGAGAGGCTGTCCCTAATTTTAATGTTATTTTTGGTACAGCTTCTGAATTTTTATCTTCTTTCTGTAAAAAATATTATTAAAATATAAATTATTAAATTTAGAATTCTATTTCTCACAAAAATAATGTAAATATATAGGAATAATTAATTGTAGCTTTTGACCATACCTCCTTTTCTTTTCGTTTATCTTTTTTCTCTTTTTTCTCCTTAATTTTCTCTATCTTTTCCTTCTTATCAAGTTTTTCTTTCTTTTCTTTTATTTTCTCCCCTTTCTCCTTATGTTTCTCTTTCTTATCTTTTTTCTTCTTAATTTTATCCTTCTTTTCTTTCTTATGCTCCTTTGATTTCTGAAAATACAGTTTATCTACAATAAATGATTTCCCTTTTACCAAAACCGTCTTTCTAATTATATTAATAATACACTGTTTTATATAAGCATAAAAAACTTCGAAAATTAAACAAATAATTGTTTTCTTCTGAAAGATCTTTATCTAATATATAAGTATACACAACACGTTGTAAATAATACCAAAAATCCAGAAGTAATTTAAATTTATAGATTTAATCTTTAAATAATATTTCACATTTCTTCTTTGACTTCTATCTTTTTATTACAAAAGAAATTACATAAAATTAATTGTTGATATACAGGATGTGTAAATTTACACGTATATCAAATAATATAAACTTATACATTGAGTACTTTTGAGATAATCAAAATGAAAGTTTTGATAATTTCTGAAATATTATGCATGAAATTTAAATAAATAATAAAAGAAAAGGTTACCTTATCGTTTTTATCCGGTTTTTCGATTTTGGCAGCTTTTGAAGGTATTAATGGTAGAATTGGTACTGGTGTAGAATACGAAATTGGTGTTGCAAGTGCAGACAATAAAGGCGGTGCAACAGTACTTGTAGGAACTGGTGTAAATATTTCTTTATCCTGTTTAATCATCTTCAACTTATCCTCCTTCTCTTTTTCCAGTTTTTCATGTTTTGTCACCGAGTGTGTTATTTCAGTGGTAGATGGTGCTAAAGGTTTTTCTCGTTCAAGAGATTTACTCTTTGATACGGTGGAGAAGTCTTCAGATTTCGCGGGTAGATTTAAGAAGCGAGGTGGTAAAGGTAAGTTTGGCATTGCTGGATGAGGACCAGCGCCACCCCTTCCTATAGGTAATGGAAATCTGGGAAACATAGGATGTGGTATTAAACCAGGTGCTGGAGGAAATGACGGAAAGAAAGGAAATGGAAGTGTCGGCGGAAAGCTCGGTTCTTTGGAAAGCTGAGGTTCGTGTGCCTGTGGAGTTTTTGGTCGATCTAGTATATCCAGCTCTACCACGTCGTTGGAAAGCTTTGTCTGAAAAATGGTAATCGCGTATCGACGATGATTTTTGGTATCATCTTTAAGCAATTGTGCTTTGCGCGTATACATATACACGCATATGTGCACTTGTGTTAATGTCACGTAGCACTATGTATAAAGAAAAATTCAACTTACCTTTTTCGGACTGCCGCAATGCTTCGGGCTTCTTGACTTCAATTCCTTCTTTTTATTGATCTTTTCCTTTCTCTTCTTTTTATGGTCTGTAGGAGTTGTGGGCATGTTCAATTCTGGCGTTTTTGGTGTACTGGGTGTTCCTGGTGGAGACATGTCGTCAAACATATAAACATCTGAACCTGGACTTTGTAGGTCAATTAACTCTCCTCCGTCTGGTTGTAAATGAACATCTGGCGTATGCGGAGTCTTTTTTTCTTCGTGTTTCACCTCTGTATCATTACGAACTGTTTGTTTATCAATATTCTCGTCGATTATCAAACCTGGTGAACTCTCTCTCGAATCCAGTTCTTTATATTTATGTTGTTCCGATGTCTCCTTGTCTTTATCCTCGCGTGGTTTTGAAATCTTTTTAAATATGTTCAATTTCTGCTTGTCTGGCTCCGATGGAAGTTTATCAATATTATCTTCTTTTTTCTCTATTGGTGGTGAGCTGCCAGTAAGATCAACTATTTTTTCTGTTTTGGTCTTTGGTTCTACTTTTTTTGTTAATTTTGGACTGCCAGATGTCTTAGGCGACATTAATTTCGGAGTTGATGGTCTGCTCGATGAGCCTGGTACAGTGCCTTGTGATTTCCCACCTCCTGGCTTCAGAGGTTTTAATTTAGCTAACTCTTTCATACCAGCTAGTTTTTTAATTTTATTATCGTCTATCTTGTTTGGTTTAAATAATTCTTTAGCGCGACTCTTCTTCTTGTTTTCTTTGTCGATTTTACCGTCTTCTAATCCTTTCTTTATAATCTTTTTCGGTTTCTTGTCGTATTTTAGTTCAGGAGGTACCATAGGATAAGAACTAGGTTGTGGTGAATCAGAACAAGTTTGATGCGGTGTTCTTGCTTCAGGTAGTTTTCCTTCTCGAGCAGGGGATAAAAAACCAGAAGTAGTCATCATTACACTATGAATCTCACGCAACGGTCTTCCTTCCTCTAATACTTTTACACGTTTTACTATAGGACTTTCGAACGAGACAGGATCTCCTGGGCGTTTGAAAACAACTTGTGGAGATATTCTATGAGGTGATAAGTTCATAGAATTATTGGCAGATGTTCCATTACTGGATGATAAATCAGATGACCCATTTATTAATGTTTCAGTTTTTTCTGCTATGTACTCTTCTGCAAGGTAACAATTTATTTTATTCCAACAAAGTTAATATTTTACTAGCTATTAATAATCAAATTCTTTCTGTGCAAGATATTATTTTCAAAATAATAAAATTTGATAATACACGAGGTATGTGCACACTTGATTATTAAATTTATTAATTTTGAGTTGTAGGTAATTCTTTATTACATTTATATGCAAAGTACTAGAAATCACAGTTTAATTAAACAAATATTATTCTACATTTATATAGTATTATCTTCTATGTCACTGATTCAGTGAAATTGTAGTTTGATATTTAGTTTAGAAAATATATACTATTTATACATAAATAGATAAAATACTGTACCTTCTGTATCTGGGTACATTGCTGGTAAATGTTCATGTACATGTACTGGCCTTGTTACAACTTCTCGACTTCCAGGTTTGAGAAAATTTAAATGATTTTCACGTTGAATTGGAAATTTAGGTACTGCTATAGGATATGGAACAGGCTCTACATTTTTAATATATTCTGTCAATTCTTGTGTATCAATGTCCATATGCTGGAAAGCTAAACCTAAATCATCAAGATTGGCTTCGGTTCTTCCCACTGAAAAAACATTCTAAATGTGTAACAATAAAGGGAAATGAGCTTATATTATTTTTATAATCGTTTAAAGCTTTATAACACATGAGATTATAACACAAAGATTATCTTTGTATAAAGGTAAAATTCATCTCTATAATAATAACTCTTGCAAGGCATCCAGCGATGGGTCATCAATTACGAATTAACTTTTATTTGGCAGTTAATATAATATCTATAATATTTAATAATACTTACAAATTTCTGCATATTGATGAGTAAGTTTCGAAATACGTAAAATGTATTCTTGCATAAGATCAACCATAAACTCTAATGGTGTAGAATTAATAGAATGCCATCCAATTGTTTGACAAATTTGAGCAACAACCATTTTTAAAACACTTCTACTATATTCTGTTGACATTTTCAACTATAACAAAAACAGTAGAAACTGTTTATTAATAAAAAAAACAACGTAAATGTTCATATTAAAAGTAAAGAAATTGTATTATATTTTATAGGCAATATATATACCTGTTTTAATATGTCGTGACATAGAAGCAATAAGATTTAATAAATTATTCTTAACATACAAAATGTACAAATTGCAAAAGATAAAATTCGATTTTACTTACCGACAAGAAAAAAATTATACAAGAGTTTCTTAATTTTTCAGCTTATTAATCTACGACACATACACACATTCTTACTACACTATTTAACTTCATTCAGCACTTCGATATTAAGTCATGCACCTTCTTTCGATGGTAATACATATTTTACTCGTGAAACTTAACGAAGTGTAAACGATACACAATCACGGAACGCAATGCGTCCTCAACACCTTCACATCTTCCTTTAAACGTATTTTTTAATCCTTCGTAATCATCGATTCATATTACAATATACGATATACCATAATGGCGGAAAGACTTTAACCATGGAAGTAAAAAAGATAGCGTTGGCTTAGTTCTATTTGATCCCATTTATGTTACAATTACATATTAAGTTTAAGTAGTTGTAAAATTTAAACTTCGCAGTAACTGCATTTTTAATGTTTTATTCCTTTTATTTATGTTCGTGCACATTTTAGGCGATCGAATATAATTTTATATAATCACGTACTAACCCTATGAAAAGTTCTATTAATAAAAATTTAATTTTCGCAAAAGCACTACTTTTATTTTCATAGAAAATTCCTAAGAAACTACATGCCATATTAATTTATTTTCGTACAAATTATAAAATAGTAATAGAAGATTTAATATTAATTCCCATGCCCAACATCCAATACACAGACTACTAACAAATAGACGCATAATCCTTTGCAAATCCAGTACAGAACACTGTAGCACTCTAGAATAGAGGGCCTTAAAAAGGGTATACTCTCTGTGATTACGTTTACACAGTTCGGATTCATGCCGAAGTTATAATATCGAAATACACCAGGGAAATTAATTATCGTCCTCTAGGAAAAAGTCACCAGTGTTACGTCTGGAATCCGTCGACATTGGTGAGCAGGACTTCCCTAGACTTGGTTTATTATTCCTCCAGGGGTGGCGTGCCGATTTGGCGAAGGTATTCCACGTAGCACTGTTGCTCGTAGATCGCCCTCGGGGATATTGGCGCGGTCAGGGCATTAGGGTGGCATCTCCATTGGGACGAGCCGCTACGGGGACGACGTCACTTCTTCTGCGGCAAGGCGGCGTTGCAAGTTGGCGGCGGAAGTCTCGATTTCGATTGACGAAGCCCGAACTCCGAGTAATTGAATGTCTGCCGGTGCCAGCCGATTTAAAAGGGTTGCGAAACGGCGAATTTGTTGGCGACGACCGCAGCGACGGATTCTCTTAGGCATTTAAATTTTACAAATACGATGATTCAGTAGCCCGGTAGAATAGTAGGATATTTTGTGATCCTTGAATATTCTTTTAAATGTTGTGGACGGGCTTCGACGCTCAATAACCCACTGTTTAAAAGAATGTTGAAGACTCTATTTCAAATTTGACACGCATGCTGGTGCCACCCAGAGAATTGGATTAGGAAAAGGAATTAATTGATCACCACTAAAATTTTATTATTTCGATTTATTCTTCAAAGGTAAGCCCTTGCTTTGCGATATTACAAGTTACAAGTGGTTGCGGCCTATTAACCGGGCTTTCTTCTTCCGACTGCCATTTTGACTGACAACCAATTGCGTTCCTTTTTATTTACTGTCACTTGTCAAATTCTGTGTAATCAGAGGAGTGGGAGACCTTCCCCTGTGCTCCGGTCACCCTGCAATACCAGATATCCCTGAATATCACCGGCTGAGACTTCGCGCCCAGGAGCGTTCTCATGCTCCTCCGGTCACTTTACGCCAGATGTAGATAACATTCTTTGCTTTGTTTATTGACAATCACGTTCGGCTAATAGCTCGCTTTAAAGGTACATAAAATCTATATTTCTTAATCCTACACGTGCTTAAACTCTATTACATTAATTAGCTAACTTTTACTAACCGTAATTATTAAGAATGGACAATTGGGAATTGATTAACACATTAAATATAATAATTAACGTCCGAACATAAAATTACCGATGGATACAACGGTCAATTCTCGAACCAACTTGAATATAATATTTGGTGATGTGTAAGAGCGGTTTCCACAATCTAGTTATTTGCTATCTGGTAACTAACTATAAAACCCCTTCACCTTTGGGCAGATGCGTAATTGATACCAGAGCTGGTGACTTTCTCCTAAAACCAGAGTTTGAAAATATTCCGAAAATAATAGTTACAAACTGCAATGTAAAAGTTCTAGTCGAAACTATTATAAAGCACTTCTGTTCTAAATAACTGTTATGAGGAATTTAAAAATCAAACTATATCGGTTTAAGTTCTTGTTATCTTATTCTTATTCTTACATATCTGTCATTTGCTGTTTTTGGAAGCTGAATCAGAGTTCGTTAGTCTTTTCGAGATATTCGTAACCTAAATTATATTTTGTCAAATGTTTCCTCGTGTCCTTTGCACATTTAATCGCATTAATAGAATATCATCTATATTATCTGCTTTCATGGATGAACGCTAAGGTGATGAAATGAATGTCAATGCTGAAAAGAGACGTTCCATGCTAATCTATGTATTATACGATAATGTTTCGTTTATATTAACATATATTGCGTTAGTTTAAGATTTACTTTTTATGCGAAAAGGTAATCGTAACTATAAGAAAGTTGTACATTGCTGAATTTAAAGGCTTGAAAATTAGCGGTAAAATCATGTATACTTGCATCAGATACATATTTGCATGTAGATAATTTTAGTAAAATCAATTATTGTAAAGTATGCTCAACAGTTTATACATGAATTGTTTGCAATCGTGCAATATATGCCGTGTATAAGAATTATGAAGAATTGATAGCCTTTTACGATCAAATAATTTCAGAGAAAACATGGTTGGAGATCGAAGATTCCCATGAATAAAAATGTATGTGCATGATACCTCTATATCTACTGGTCTTACCCCTACTTTTCATCCAATTTCAGACGAATAGAATAAGGTCTGTTCAAAAGGCGGCTAAGAAATATCCAATCAAATGTTGCGTAGTATCGTTGTGTTCAGGATGTGCTCACAGAATCAAGATGGCATCCGAAACTGGTACAAGTATCGTGTCAAATGAGCGATGTGATGTAAATAATACAATTCAGCAAGTATTCGAACCGCTACGAAGGGAAACAACTAATGCAAAAGTGCCCGGAACAACGTGGAATAGTGTTATTAAGGAGACAAACGAGTTTTCGAACAATTTAGCTCTACATTCAATCAGGACGCCCACGATTTTCTCTACAGCGTCATCATTTAGTGCAAACACGGAAGGGAAAGAATTACAGAGAAATGTGAATTTCATGAGTTCGTCTGGTGATGTGGAAGAACGTTCTGCTTACAAACTTGCTATCAACACTACATTACACTCACCATCCTTGGAACCACACAGCATGCCCAACAACAGGAATGATTTAGATAATGTTGACTGTCTTACTGAACAGCCAAACGGTAATATCATTTAACGTTACATGTAACACATGTGTTTATATATTTAGTTTGTTTTACGAACGATATTTTTAAATAAATATATTTCCTCTATGAGATTTATATTGATATTTATATCAATGGCTCTATTGTTCATAAACTTATTTAAGAAACTGTTACAACAATATAAATAATAGAAAATGGAAATTGAATAATGTTCATTGATAACTGTGGAATATTACATATAATTTGAATACAATATGAATTTTGTTTGATATATTGTTTAAAGTATTATATTAACATGAAACGCTTAAATTAAAGACATACTTTCTAACAAAGATTTAATATTATATCTTTTATATTATAATAAGTTACGTTTGTGTGATAAGATTAAATATTATATATTATAGGGAATCCAGATCATTGCAACAATGAATTAATAAAAACAATAATAGAACCAGTTCAACATGCTATTCATGTATGTATATTTATTGTGTATATTAATAAAATATATAAAGCAATATACTTTTATGAAGCGTTGTATCGTTGATGCGAAGATACATCGTATTTATAATTTTCTTTATTTTATCTAGGTTGACTCAGCATGTAACAAAGATACACCAATATCTGGTAGTATACATGCATTACCAACAATACTAGAAGGATGTGTAAACTTTGAACATGGTAACACTCCTCAATTAGGGGAAAGTCCTCAAAGTAGCGGCGAAGTAATTAATAGTCCAAGAAGTCCAGATTATCCACCCAGAGTTTCTGATAGTCCAAATAGTCCAGACACAACATTTCCAAGCAGTATGACATCAGCAGTTGTGACTTCGACTATTATAATGGATACAGCAACATATAACGAAGGAAATACAAATAATTTAACCGTTAAAGCTAACAAGAATCTAATGTCTTATTCATTTTGTGGACAACTAGAAAAAACAGATGAACAAGTTTCTGTTACTCAAATAAACACAAACGAGGAAAAGGAAATAGATAAAGAAATAGACATTGTTCATAGAGATATAAAAACAGAAGTTGTTGAAGTTAAAACAGAACAAGCAGATTCTCAAGAGCAATTAAGCGTAGTTAAGTCCGATTGGGCTAGTAACAGTGTATCTACAATAATAGTTGGACAAACAGACACTGCACTGTCTCATAACAAACCAATAAATTGCATTAGTTCTACATCTTCGAATTCACATTCTAAATCGTACTCGTCTTCAAGAGAAAAACGAAATAAGGAACATAGTGAACGGCGTTATTGTTCACGATGTTATAAACGTAGTAAAATAAAACGAGCAAGCATTGGTGTACAGTGCAAACGAGATCGCAGTGTGGTTTCGTTAAGCAGTAAACCGATGTCTCATCCGTTCTCAAAATCTACAAATGAAAATCTCAGGTTAAATTTGCAAATGAAAAATTATAAAATGCTTCACAATCTACCCGTCAAGAGTGAATTACTGGAAGGCCTAAAGTACAAGAAATTCATTCATATAGAAACTTATCCTAATGGTGGTGCAACTGTTGTGCATATGTACCAAGATGAAATTGATACATTATCGCAAGAACAAGTAGAAGAATTAGCTCAAGAATATTTTAAGGTAGGTAGATATAAATATAATTTTAAAAAACAGTTGAACTTGAATTCTTAAAGTTATTTCTCTACAATTTTTTAAAATAATATGCATAAGAAAATAAATTATACTTTCCCGTGCTTTTGAATACTATAGAATGCGATATTTTATATCATAGGTAGTTTTTGGTGAAGATGAAAATGGTAACGCGCATCATGTTATGGGAATAGTGCACAATGCTGCTGCGTATCTTCCTGATCTTTTGGATTACATGGCAGATAATTATCCCACGTTAACTGTGAAAAATGGTGTATTAGGAAGAAGTAGTGACATAGAAACTACAACTATGGTTCAGTACAAAGAACAAGTTTGTAAAGCTTATAGTAATGGAACTGTTAGGTATGGACCTCTCCACCAAATAAGTCTCGTAGGAACTGTTCATGAAGAAGTAGGCGGGTATTTTCCAGATTTTCTACAAAAATTGGAAGAAAATCCATTTTTAAAACTGGTAAATATTGTAAAATAGATAACTTAAATATTTATGTTATAATACGAGATAAAATGTTGATTGCCATTTTCTATTTTAGACGATGCCTTGGGGTCCATTATCTGTTGTGAAAATGGATACTCCTCAAGAATCAAACGATGGTCCGATTCTATGGATCAGACCAGGGGAACAGTTAGTTCCAACAGCAGATATAAATAAAAGTCCTTACAAAAGGCGCAGAACGGGCATTAACGAGTTACGAAATCTCCAATATTTACCCCGTCTTAGCGAAGCCCGTGAATATATGTTTGAAGATCGCACTAAAGCTCATGCGGATCACGTGGGTCATGGTTTGGACAGAATGACAACAGCTGCAGTCGGCATACTGAAAGCTATACACGGCGGACAATCTTCTGGATATAACAGAATTACAAAAGATGTTGTGGCTTTCTACGCCGGTGATTTTCCCGAACTAGTTGAAAAATTGCAACTGGATCTTCACGAACCACCTATATCGCAGTGTGTACAGTGGGTTGAAGACGCGAAATTGAATCAATTGCGTAGACAGGGTATTCGCTATGCGAGAATAAATTTATACGATAATGATATTTACTTTTTACCACGTAATATAATTCATCAATTTAGAACGGTCTCCGCAGTTTCAAGCGTAGCGTGGCATGTCAGATTAAAACAGTATTATCCAGAGTCACAACATAATTCAAGCATCAGGCACACGCGCGTTGCAAACGAACCGTCCCACCGTTTAAAAGAAAAGAAATCTTTAGAAGCTGTGAATATAGGAGACGAACAGAAAGAAAATACAAATCGTCAACGCGTAGAACAAAAACATTCTATCGACTCCTTCGAGGAGAAAAAAGCAAAAGAAAGGGCCGCCGAGTATCAAGGAAATTTGAAGAAATCGGATCAGCATGGAAAGCGTAAAGAAGAACGTAAAAGTAGAGACTATACAAGACATTCTTCTGTTTCAAGTAAAAGGAGAGATTCCGAAGAGAATAATGATAATTGTTCGGATCTATTCAATAATAAATCTACAAAGAATAGCGCAACAGACCAAAAGCAAAGTAGCGAGAAGAGAGACGATAAGAGATCCGAAAGAAGACACGACGATCGGCGTCGATCCAATGAAAAATCCAATCATCATTCTCACAGTAACAGTAGCAGTAATAGTAGTCACTCTCCAGACAAGAAGAAGTATGACTGTAGTACACATAAACTAGTCCATCATCGTCACCATAGTCGATGTAGCAGTAACAACGCATCCAGTAAAGAAAGCATTTCAAACGTTATGGAATCAAAATCGGTCAACAAATTTAGCACCTCAGTGTCTTCATCGAAAGATAGTAAAAGACGTTTGAGTTCCTCGGACCTTTGTGCAACAGAACACAATACCTCTGATTGTAACATCGTTATTCTTGAACAAGATGTATTGTCGCAACGACAATTGGTAGCAAAAACGTACGCAACGGAAGTTGTAGATAAGGCTTTAGAAATTGCTATTTATAAATCAAAGACTGACGTGGAAGAAGTTTGCCAATCTTTGCGAACTGGCGTTGCGGAGGCCTCGAAAGAAGTATTAGAAAAAATACATAAAGAAAGTTTTGAAATCGCTGAACAGAAGTACAAAAAAGATATATCAAAATTAGAACGATATTGTCAATTACTGGAAATAGAAACTACGTTGGCTTTCACATCGAAGATGGAATGCGCGACCGAAAATGCAGTAAAAGCATTGATCGAAATGGCCGAGGACGAAGCTAAGGAAAGATCGAAAAATGAGAAGGTTTGTGCATCGGTAACTGGTAACTCGGGCGAAGAAAGTTCAGTGTCCGCATCGAAAATCCCTAATTCTTCGTCTTGTTCTTCGATCACGTCAACATCTCCGTCAGCAGAGGCTGAAAGGCATAGTAGCAACAGTAGGAATTGTAGCAGCGACGAGAATTCATCGAAATTGTCGTCGGATACTCGTACGTTACATTCGGACTCCAAGAGAAAGCATAGAGACGACAAGGATTCCAGAAATCAACGGCATAAGGATAGAAGGGATCGAGATAGACGCGACAGAGAACATAAGAAACATCGTCATCGGAGTCCTCAACGTAAATCCGATAGTAAAACGGGAGAAGGTAGTAGTAAAGAGGATTCGCTGAAAATTATTGCACTGCCTAGGGATTATAATATTTCTGGTAAAGCTATTGATCGCACAGAAAATAAAGACAATGAAAGGAAATCGGAAAAAAGAAGAGATGGGCACCACAGTCATGGAAGGGACGGGCAGAAAAAATCATCGAGTAGTCGTTCGTCCAAAGACGATTCGGCGTCGAGTCGTTCCCATTCGTCGAGTTCGAATCACAAGAGGAAGTCCAGTTCATCCGAAGAACACAAGGAGCCGAAGAAACCGTGCATTGAAAAAGACGTTGACGCGGAAACGACGGAACAAAATACTCTTGACACTACGTTAACTCTAATAACAGTGACAACGGTGGCTCAATCATCGACGACAAGTACTGTTGTGTCAACATGAACAGGTGAAAATTATTTTAAGCTGTAGTACAATCTGCTTGTTAGAAATAAAAGTTCGTGCGATCGAGCTTACATGCCGGCAATCTTGCGCGTACGGATTCTAACTGATTTGGGTGTAGTAAATTTACGTTGTATATCCGAATTTACAGAAATATGAGACGTGAACCAATATACAAAATACGATAAAAGTTTTTTTTCTTTCTTTTTAGATCTAATCGAAGTAGAAGCAATTACAGTGTTTTATCCAAAGACCAGTTAGATCTTTAACCAATTGAGAATTTGCTACATCATCATTTTCATGCAATTATAAACGCCTTAGTATTTAGCAAAGAAATTTCAGCTACGAAGGTAGTGACAACGCGTGGAAGCATTTTCTCATACTGACTCGCAAAAATTATTTTGCTATAAAATCCCTGAGCGTCTCATATATTGCTGAGAATGAAAGGAAAAATAAAAAAAATAGATATTTATAGAATAGGTGACCAATATGATGTGTACAAACAAAATTTGTACAAATTTGTGATCAGAAAATTAAAAAGATTTAGCACATCAGAGCTGTACACTGTACATAGATTAATACATTACTCTATTTAGAGAATCGTCTTGCAGCGAATCTTGTTTAAGTTTTATATGTATACATATATGTATACATACATGTACATATATAAATGTGTGCGTGACGAGTGTATGCATGCTGTATGCCTATATACATACATGTATATATACACACGCATGTGTGTGTGGAATATGAATTGGTATGTATATATGTATATTGTGTATATCCGGCATAAAGAAATAAAAAAACTTGTCTATACTACCGCAACGTGTAGGTACGTTTTAATTTCCGATTGGTAAATTGACGTTTTGCGCGCAAACTGATTGGTGCTAATTCCAGCGCTTTGTAGTAACATGGACGAGTTTGTTGTGCCCAGTCTACACATGTACATATATGTGAAAGGGAAAGCGTAAATGTAAATTATTTATAATTTCATTGAACATTCTACGTGATTTGAAGGTTTTGGTTTACTTTGCAATTTATCCTTATCAATTTAATAAGAGGAAAAGTCCTTAACACCAACACCTATATCAATCATTAATATTTTAATGAAAACAGATCTTCTGTATATTTAAACTAAACTATTTAAAATTCATATTTTATTAATAAGCGGGGGATCGATATCTTATGTACTGATTATAGAGTGAGAGAAACATTGTATTGTTGTTCTAAAGGATGTGCATTAAGAAGGTCACATGTGCGTGTTTTCATGTCTCGCATGAAAAGTCCAATTGTCATAATGTATTGCTGGCGAAACACTATGTACTAGTTTTCTTCTCTTTTCTTTTTTTTTTCTATTTAAACAGATTTTTATTTATACAACAAAGTTGATAAAGATGAGCACTGATAGCAAGCTCGGTATATATGTACATTTAATCTTACGTGTTATTGACATTTAGTTTACTTAATAATTAACACATTGATACAGCGATTTATTCCGACAACTTCATCACCAACCTAAATGCTTCTTCCACTCGGGTACAATACAAAGGGGTTCGAAAAATCGATTGATAGTTTTTATGAATTTTCATAGACGAGTGAAATGACAGTAATTGGCAGTATAGATTTGTGCATACAGAATATTGTTTAACAGCATAAGAAATTGTTAAAAGGGAATATTCATATACGGTGATATATATTCTGTTCTACAAAAATCATATTTGGCCTATATAGCATTATTTCTGTCAAAAATTTGGAATTTATTTTTACGTAAAATAATTGAAAATCGTTAATTTATTAATATTAAAAGTAAAAATAATAGTGACGGTAAAAAAACAGATACATCGTACAATTCGACGTATATAGTTCGCAATTTTATCTAACATTTATACAATTAAGATAATGTAAAATTTAAAGTGAAAAATTTGATCATATTTTGTTAAATTAAAGAATGCCTCAATCTTATATGCACGAGTGAACAAACGTTTCCGAGAATCTTGTATAATAGTTTCGTTTAATTTTGAAGTTTCAAAGTTTTCTGACGAACGATTTCAACTAAATGTTGAGTATTACAGGTCCTTCGACCTCTGCCTTCATATATGAGCTTTAGGTTTCTGTAAGGAAGAATGAACAATGTTATATATGTTTTACAAAATGAGGCTTGTATGAAGAATACAATAAATTCTTCGTAAAGAATGGTTTTTAACACTTTCTTAGATTATTTAAATAAAAAAAAGTATAAAATCTATTTTGCTTAGAAATTTATTTTCGAATATACGATATGTTATGACGTACCTGGTATAATATGAACACATCAATTCTAAATTATTTTATACCTTGGATATCATTGTTTTTACGTTTAATTGTACATGGTACGAGTTGCATTGTTATTATAAAACAATTATGAATATTTTTTTCATTCCAAGTAATTTTATAGTATCGTCGTATAAATAATATCTATCGCATTTCTAAATTAATTACTGAAAATTTTGGTATTGGTCAAATTATATTTATGTAATACGTTACATTCGTGCAGTACAAAATACCTTGGTACAAATGTAACGGCTTATCTTTGTGTAAAAAACTAAATTCTTTAATTCAATTCCTGTAATTTATCTTACTTACGAATATTTGTACATGCATTAGGTAGTGATTTTAATTTTTGTTGTCGTTCGTTTTGTAGTATCAGAATACGAAACAAGGGATGCTCATTATTTTTATTAAACATATATTGAATCTCGAGGAACGAGAACATTTTTGTATTAGGACCAATACCTTTTTAAATATCGTTGGTAAATGTTTCGTTCTTTGTATATTATATGGTTTTGTTGCATGCAAATCTAACAAGAAATATTGTATTGCCTTCTAGGATGGTTTTTTTAAAATCACAAACATCAATTAACATAAAAATATAATTTACTTGCAATGATCGACGATGCATTTAAATGTACAATTTATTTTAATTATTATAATATGTTGTAATATTTTTTTCAAATTTGAATAATCTATAGCTTTTGTTTTAGTTACCGATTCAAAGAAATATCTTAAAAAATGTATTATTTCGTTCACAAAATAGAGTTTCTACGAATAGCGTTCTTGCAGAAGATTTTAATAGATATCATACAAGAAATATTCTCAAAACAAAATTATTAATAAAAAGGTATGAATTTTATCACAAGCATATGCACAATCTATACAACCAACCGACATATAAAATTAAAAGCACAGCAAACGATATAAAGAATCGTAAAATATACCGATTTCTTTAATTAACACCTTGTTTAAAAGGATAATCTATTGTATTAATACAATGATAACGGAAAAGAACGATCCGAGGGAAATTGCAAACTAATTATGGCTCTTTTTTTTTCTATAGTGGCCCAAACAAGTCTTCGTACAAGAAAACGAAATTTGTTCAACTTAATTTTATTGGTGTTTCAACAATGTGTTTTTAGAAATTAGATGATATTTAATTGAAGCAGAGTTCTTGATCTTTAAAATGATTTAGGTACAAATCGAGTAAAAATATTTTTTTTTTGAGCAAATTGGAGCATTATGCTGTATGAGCCTTTGAGTAAATAAGGAATATTTATTACATATGTGGTATAAATAATGCTACGTAAAAATCTTCATATAATTAATAGTGTAACCTGGGGGGGAGGAGGGTTACGATTCCTTCCCCTACTTTACTGTTCCGCGCAAGCGTAGAAGAACTGCCTCCACTGTGCCCACTCCGCAGAGTTGGTCCACTCGCTGGGCATGCAACACGTAATTAATCGTTGTCAGTCCCATTGTTCTTGTAAGAAAAGCTTTTAATTTTACTGTTATATTTTCTTTCCTCGATTAAGGATTCATATTTTAGTAGACGTGTTTCTATATCAGTTCAATACTTGTTTTGTTGCAACTATTAATTTGGCTTTGTGAGTGCAGTGAATGTTCGCCTTGTTGAATAATTACAATAAATACTACATAAAAAAAAACTACCAAAACTCTAATAGGTTAGGGCCCAAGCCATGTGCTGATATTTAATGTGATCGATGCAAGGGTACAGTTGTTCTTTTTTTCTTCTATATCTAGATTAATTTCTTTATTGGACTTACCCTAAATTATGAATATAATATATATAATATATTTAAAGTTATAATTTCTGGAATCCTCCTCATCCATACGGCTTGACTCTGTGATGTATTGATTTGATCCCAACTGACTTTTGTTCTCAATGTATCGTTTTACCAAATTGATGAGAGGAGTAAAAGATGTTGGTTCAATAGTGCCTTTGAGACTCTCAATCCAGACTTTTGGTAGAGAATTCCTTGGAGGATTACCCCGTTTTATGAATATAGTGACCACACATCAGGATTGTTGTCAATTTCTGTAATTGCAGCGAGCTAAAGATCTAAAAGAAGTTTGTTTGGTTCTGCTTATAAGCTAAGCTAGACGTATACTTATCATCGATTAATATTCACCGAGGATAGGTTACTTTTTGTAATGATGCATCCTGTTGTGGCTTACGACGAAAAAGATAGTCATCCCTGGTGTACCCTATTAGTATTATAACTACAATTAATTAATATTTCGTAGGATAACCTCTTGTTTGAATTGCTTTTACTAAGTTGGTAGTAATTTTCGTACTAATTAAATTGGGTAAATTTTATTCTCATGTACAAAGACTTTTGCGTGCCACTGTATATCATATTATCAAACGCACGAAATAAAAATTCATCGAAGGCGTACTTAACGTGATTGTCTTCCAAAATGGACCAAATTTAAGACATCGGAGTACTAACTAGCTTTCTCATCCTCTCGATTTTATTGTTACAACTTCGATGTACTGTTGTACTTCGCTACAATCTCATTAAAAGTTATACATACTATTGCATCTACGCAGCAAAGGTAATATCGTCGATGTTAACTTCCAAACTAACATAGAACTTGCACATTACATTTAAAATAGTCATTATTTAGAGATTCCAAAACAATCTAGCTGCAAAAAAAAAGAGATACAGGGTATTTGTTTAAAAGATATGTAAACAACCCATTGTCGAGATCAAAAGAAGCCGATTCATTCGATTTTTATATCACCCTTCATTGTCATTATTTATACATTAGTATGATCAAATTTAAACGCAAATATAGCATTTCATGTGCATTCAATTGTAATCTACCTTCCGTGTACGAGATTTGTAAAAAAAGAGGCTATAATTTTCGTACGACGAACTTCAAAATTTCGGTCCGTTTATGAATATTTCTACAAGTTTATTTTAATTCTTTACAGATATCTATTTTTGAACGATGAGTACTTACAAGTACTTGTTAGTACTTCCAAGGGTTCTATACTTTGGTCAATAATAAATTTGTTAAATATTGCATATACGTGTAAACAGGCTGATCCACGTGCAGTTTTTTTTTTCTCGAAAACTTCTAGGAATTATGGCAAAAATTCTTTTTTTATATTTTGTCACGCATAATAATGTGTGATAGCAAAAGACGTTTGTCGTATATCGCATAAATGACCTCTGAGTATTTTAAAATAAAAACAAGAATTTTATCGGTGTTCCTAATAGTTTCGTGGAAAAAGCAAATCGTAGGACCACCATATGTATGTACACACACAAAATAAACAGTTTATTTAATCATTATTACGGTATATTTGTTTTAATCGTTTGAAAAAAAAGACAAATATTTGCTATAAAACCAAATAATGTAAGCGATGGACATTGGACATCGCGAATTTTAAGGTGCCTTTATTCAGTTCGTCGCAAAACAATTTGATAATTAATTTGTAAATATAAGTTTCGTTTTCGTTAGTACGTGTAGTATTTCTGTATTGATTTTCATTTTCGTAAATGATTGGACGAAGAAAATCAATTGGTAACAAATACAGACGAATTTAATATTTAATTTTGACGCGTGTACAGGAAACATTCTTTGTAAATAAATGTAAGAAAAAAATGCAATTCTCGAGTTTGTTTCTTTTATAGAAAAAAGACTGCTCGTGAAATCATAATTCGTAAAGTTGGAGAATGTTTGTCGCAATACAATGATACGAGCATAATGTTGAGAAACATAGAGTCAAATATACGTTAATAACTAATTAGAAAAATACTTTACTTTAATATTCGAATGTTACTCAAAATCAATTTGATACGTGATTTGAATAGAAGAACAGTATTTACCGATCCCCTCGTAAGGATAATGAAATGTTAATATATGTTTGTAATATCTTATTTCTTACAATTTTCAATTTAATATAAAATATAGTATTTTATATGACAGCTAAGCGTCTACTGTTCGATCGAAATAACCGAATTTCTCTTTTAATTTTTCGTTCAGTGGTTATAAATACTGAATTATTTTACTAATGTTTTTTTTTTATTAGACGTTATCGCTTCTAAACATAATATTAATTAAAATAACACGCTGGTATTGCCTTTCTATTAAAGAAAATTAAAAAAAATGTTAAATACATTACCGAAGGTATACTTTTATATTTACACTGTACATTGTATAATATTGTACTTTTAAACGTAAGTACACATAATAATATAAAGATTAAGTACTTTAATTTGATCAAATTTGCAATTTAATTTTGTACAAACATATACATATTTTTCAGGTTGACATTTGGTCGTTTTACATTTTGATTTAGATTTTTGCGTATTGTATACTCAATAGCAATCGTGGTTTAATTAAATTCTTTTGCTGGTTAAACATCGTTTTAAAGAACAACAATTTCATTGTCAAAAATGAATAAAAAATCTACAGAAATAAATATCGCATAATAATTTCCGGTGATAAACATAGCTTCAGTTTTCAATTTGTTTAATACGAGAAAAGAATTTTCTAGTTTTCATTAGTCTTCAGTTGTTCAGAAAATGTTAACGTTTTTACAAGATATACGCGCGGAAGCCGATTAAGATACCTTAAAATATGCGAAACTGAATTACTCTGTATATTTGTAAATATGTAATAACTTTTATGTCAGAGTAAATATGGGATAGTGAATGATACAAAAGTCAGATACTCACTTGTAAAGAAATCAGTACAGGGGATATACACAATAGTTAGTACAGAGTTTAAGGATTATTGCTATTGATGCTAAACATGCTATTATTATACACAATAAAATATATTATGTTGATCTTGTAAAAGTCGTAAAAAATTATACATATAGTAGTACGTAGTTTTACATATTATACCTGTCACTATGTGTAGAAGTTGCATTCCACGTTTAAGTTTTTAAAGAAACAAATAAATTACTTTTGATCAAACTTGTTCATTTATTTTTTCGAACACAGACTGTATAAATGCAGATGAGAACGTCATTTGTTGGAAAGGAAAATCGATTAATGTTAGATCATGTAAGTACAATCAATAATATACGAATACTAAAATACTGTTAAAATATTATATTTACTATTACGAATTGAACATAGTAAACTGGTAAAAATATATTTAAATACTAACGAAATATTAACAAAAATGTGAAGTACGAGGAACTAATTTTTTAATGAGTACGTTCAATGTTTCAAACTTTTAATTGAGACTCGAAGACACGGGTATTTATCCTTGCCTCTGGTTAAAAGCAGCGGGAATAAATGAAAGTAATGGTAATCTCAAAAATTACTTGTCGAATGTAATTACTTTCGACAAAACATTTGTAATCAATATCTAATTTATTCCAACTAATGATCAATTATAATTTTAATGATCCGTCTTCTAGAATGCAAACATTTGTTCTTTGATATACATCAACGTTATTTTTCTACGCAAATTAGGCCTGTGTATATGTGATCCCAATCCCAATTTCTAGAAAGTGTACTGTCTGCTTGATATGTCACGTGATTCTATAACCATGTGTCTTTTACTCAACATGGCGACCGGCAAAGGGCTTACGATTGTATTTCGACCAAAAACTTTTAGTTTAATCAACAGTGGTATTCTAAATAAATTGTCGTGTGGTATTGTGCAAAGATGTAACACATGTCACCGATCTATCACAACAGTAGCGTTGGGTGTCCGCAATTGGAACTCAAAGAAAATAGGAAAATGTAACGTATACCTCTAACCATGAAGAGCACAGATTACATCATTCATTTTTCTGATAATGCGAGTTATATTCCATTAATTTTGAATTTACTAACATGTTAAAGACATTCTGGCGTTCCGAGGCAACCAATTATATATAGTTTCATAAATGTCCTGTAGTTTCTCGTTTGTGATTTTGCTAAAGAATCCTCCAAAGTGGAATATAACCCCACATTTTACAACACATGCTTCTTCGTTTCGTTAAACGCATTTGTTTATAACTGCTGTAAAGGAAACTCTGATCGCCGGTATATTTTCTTAAATGCTATAACATAAATATTTATTGTTACTATCGTAATAGTTTAGTTCCTGAAATTAACTTTTGAAATTTTACAAACCAATATGAACTGGAGACAATATTTTATATTCAATTCTTTGTACTCCTTTAGCCAATTCTTATTCTTCATAACATAATTAATCGTTCTAACAATTGTATGTACATGCGAGTATATTGAAAAAATTATTATATAAAATTATATTCAAATGGTTTATTAATTTTGTCTTTTATGTTGGGAATTAATTAGCAATGGGAAGGCATATGATTAAATGTAAATTAAAATGTATTTTAAATATGTGTAAAGTGCAAAGGATTAATAATAAAATATGTTTTAAAAGATTTTATTTGATAGTACACATTGATGCATTATAAATTTGGCAAGAAAACTTTTTTTCGTTTAAAACATTCTTTTGAAATATAATTACAGATGTGACAGGACATTTCGCTCAAACCCAAAGAGAAATACATACTACAAATCAGCTTTTAAAACTTGATTATTATGAGATATTAGGTGTATCTAAAAATGCTTCGGCAAAGGACATTAAGAAGGCATATTATCAATTGGCTAAAAAATATCATCCTGATACAAATAAAGGAGATCCAAATGCTAGTAAAAAATTTCAAGAGGTTTCTGAAGCTTACGAAGTATTAAGCGATGATAATAAAAGAAAAGACTATGATACATGGGGAGAATCTGCTCATCGAATGGGAATGGGGAATTCTCAGGGTCAAGCCAAAGATTATGGAACTAACTGGGAGTACCCATCATCTGCTAATCCAGAAGAGTTATTTAGATCAATCTTTGGAGATGATGCTTTTCGATCTAATATTTTTAATCGTTTTGATGATTATGCTGAAACGAAATCTGGTTTTGGAGCAGCTCAAGAGGTACATATAAAATGTATACAAGTGTTTTAAAATGATGGGATGAGTCAAAACATATAAATATTTTGTGCAAAGAGAAATTGAAGAGCCCTGTGCCATTTTGCAATCTGAGACTATATTTACAAGATACAAACAGTTAAAGTTTACTCTTAATACATGATATTTATATCCCGATCAGCTAGTTGTGCAATGGCACATGCACACACTCGCACACAAGAGCTACGTGTCCGTGACATGTAAAAACTTTAACTGTTTATATCTTGGATAAAAAAATATCAGATTCCAAAATGGGTAAAGAACTTTCGAATTTCTCTTTGTCAGAGAAATTTATATGTTTTACATTCTACATTTTTGACTTGTTTTATATGAGGAATTACCTTTGTTTCAGTTGTACCACAATTTCAGAATCATCTTGTGTGTGCATGCATGTATATGTATGTATATAGGGTTTTCTTTTTGTTTCTTTAGGTTATTATGAATTTAACATTTTCGCAAGCTGCCAGAGGTGTAAATAAAGATGTTCAACTGAATGTAATCGATACGTGCCCAAAATGTAAAGGTTCCCGTTGTGAGATAGGTACAAAAGCAGTTAAGTGCCAACATTGTAATGGCACTGGAATGGAAACGATTGGTAATGGTCCTTTTGTGATGCGCTACACTTGTCGTTATTGTCGCGGCGACAAGGTATTTATTAAATTTCCGTGTCAGGAATGTGACGGAAAAGGACAATCGGTACGAATTCTACTACATTTTATACTAATTAAAAACACATGAAAGCATTAAATGAATTAACGAATATAGTAATCATTTTCTACGAACGTGTATTTTAAAAACAGGTGCAAAGAAAAAAAATAACAGTTCCAGTTCCAGCTGGTATTGAAGATGGTCAAACAATTCGAATGACTGTGGGTAACAAAGAAGTGTTTATAACATTCCGAGTGGAAAAATCGAAATACTTTCGTAGAGATGGATCAGACATACATACAGATGCTGAAATTTCGTTATCACAAGCAGTACTTGGTGGCACAATAAGAATTGAAGGCATTTATGAGGATCATACTATACAAATACAGTCTGGTACTTCATCCCATACTAAAATTAGACTGAATGGAAAAGGAGTGAAAAAGGTGAATGGCGTAGGATGTGGAGACCATTATGTACACATTAAAATATCAGTACCTACAAAATTAAATAACAAACAATTGGCTTTACTGCAAGCTTATGCCGAGCTTGAGACTGATACTCCTGGCAGTATATATGGTATAACACACAAAACAGATGGTAAGAATAAATGCAATAAATTTTGAGACTGATTATTATAGTTTAAGAGTTAATTATGTATATGTACCTAACAAGAAACTGAAACATATGTGAATTTCCATATTATCATTTTTCTGAAGTACATTAAATTTTAATAATGTGCCTGAAGTCTTTTCAATATCTTGTGTAACATTTTATAACAAATAATCTTTGATTTTGGTAAGTTCACATAAGATTATACGCGTGTGTCGCTTGAGTTTCTTTACATGTACCTGCCATTGCTAGTGAAATAAATGATGTACAAATTTATACATGTGTTTTATTGGTGTTGAGTATAAATAAAATACCAATGTCTATAAAATAAAAACATTAACGAATTATTGAGTTGTTTAATTTGCTTGTTTCACTGTTTAGCATACAGTTTTTCATTGCGTGCTCTTATATCAAGTATTTTTATCATTAGATTATACCTTCTTTTAGGCATGGCAGGTCCAAATGTAAAAACTCAAGTGAGACAGAATACCGACGGTGAACGGGATCATAATGATGGTCTGCTTAATAAGATAAAAAAAGCTATATTTGGATAAATAGAGGTGAGTAACTGTTTAGGATAAAATGTAAAATTTATTTTTGGTGTTAACAATGAATGTGTTGCAAAATATTCATTGTTATCTGTTTTCATTAAGAGAACAACATAATAAGCATTTATTAAATATTTACTATTCTAATAAAACTATTTTTGGTTTTAAGGTACAAAAGAAAGTTATATTGGTCCTCTCGAGTTAGTAGAATCCATACGAATAGCATTAAGTAATGGAGATATTTCTAATACACAAAATTCATTTCCAAAAACTGAAGATTCTGGAGCTAAGCCACGAAATAATACGAAATCGAAATACGATAGTTCGAAAAATGAAGACGTTAACACAAAGCAAAGACAAACATCATAATATTATGACACTATTAGATTTTGTGAGTGGTAGCAAATTATTCGTTCACGTCAGCTGTGGAAGAAATAACGTTCGAAATTAATAAAAGTAAAAGTTAATTGCTATGTAATAGAATCTATATTGCCGCTGCCAACATTAATACAATACGGAACAAAGTCGACTGCAACTTGATGTGTTTATTACAAATGCAATTGTATGCTAATGTTTTCGTTTATTTAATCTATACATACTTGACTTTAAAAAACTTGTACATATTACCACAAATGTGTTGCTCGATTTCCGATTGATAGAATGCGATTGGATGCGCAAAATTGATTTTCGATGATTCCGACACATTTGTGGAAGTATAAATAAATTTCTTTTTAAACCAAAGTACATCGGCAATTGATACAATTTACCGAGTAAGTTACATGTGTATCCATAAAAAAAAAATTGATGATAAAAGGTCGTCTTAATAATATCTATAATACATGTATAATAAATTATACAATGTGTTATATTTACACTTATGGTCAACCATTAGGTCCTTTACTTTCATACTATCCAAAACGAATTCATAATGCAATGATGCCTTGGAAATTGGCCGGTTGCTATCCCTACCAGTTCTTAAAACTGACTACCTACTTGCACCGTGTTATGTATGTCTATCTCACTTACACTTTCTGAAAGAAAGAGACGCGCGGGACTTTCTGAAAGATTTCCCTCTAACTTTAGCTAATTTCAGTCCCAAACATCGCCCAATATCCAAGGCATTATTGTATGCACAATTAAACATGCATGTATGCAAGTAAACATAGGAGAAAGGATGAATAGGTGCAAAGAAAACATTATGTAAATATAAATAGAATTTATTATTTTATTCAAATTGTTTACACGTGTAAAAGAAAGACAAATAATTTAGTTTGTGTAGGTATGGTTACATTTAATGTTGAAAGTCTCTTTTCAACAATTTTCTTTTTCATTTTTTCCATTCCCTTAGACATGTGTTCGCGTGATTTCTAAAATAAGTTTCTCAATTAAAGAATTTTATAAGTGTTTTAATATAAAAGGCGTAAATTTTGTATGAAAGAAGTGAATTGTAACTAGTAATAAACATAACAGTAATTGTTTACATAAAGTATCTTTTAGAAATAAATAAAAGAATATTAAGGTTGTTTCTTAAAGACTTTCTTGTAGTCAGTAATATTATACTTTAATTTAAAATGCATGCTTATTTAAATTTACGGATAATTTAGAGCTTTGAAACTTCTAGTTTTATTAACTAAGTTGACTTAATAATTTCTATATTATGAAATTATTTGATAAATACAACACAAACTATTATATTAATTTATATACACTAACATAAAAATGAAAAACAAAGTACTGTTAATATATATTTTGTAGTTTTATTAATTGTAATATTTGAGGCTTTATCTTTGATGCATAAAGAATAGATAATTGGGAAAATTTATTAATGCTACTTGTATTTATAGTGATTAAAATGTTTTAATTTAACTCTTTTTTACAATAATTTCGAAAAATATAAATGATCTTTTGGGCATATTTTATTATTATACTTTATACTATTGACTATATAAATACCTACTTAAAAGAAAGAGTAAAATGTAATGGATTTTCCAATAAGAAAAATAGAACTTTGAATTTAAATAAAATAAAATCCATAAAAGATAATCTGGTGCTTATTGTTTTATTTTGATGTACATTTGATGATATTATATGTATATAAAATATATAATATCACTTGAATGATCACCACGATTACATTTGGTGGAGTAAATACATTAAACCTTAAGTAAGACCTAAGACTTCGAATAAAATTCGCAGCAGAGAAGTCTAGGGAATGCCTAATTTTTCAGAACGTTGTGAAATCGATAAATTCTCAGTAACATTTTTTTTTATAATAGTAATATTCTTTTCGTTTCTTGTACTACGTGAACGCGTTGGAATATGTATATTGATCGACAACTAAACCACTGGCTTCAAACAGAGATACTGGACGGAGGCCCGGGTGCACCGGGGACACCTCATTCCACTTTCTCACACTATGCCAAATCACACGTACTGTGAGCTCGTAGCGTTTCGGAGAGTCGACAAAGACAAACTGACACATGCCCTCTTTCTCGATTCTCCGAAGCTGCTCGAAGTAATTTCGGACCGTCTCGTGGGAGTCGGGAGAAAAAGGCTCACATTTGCTTTCTCGCTTTTAAACAACTGAAATTTGACCTCACGTCAACGGCATTCGATTTGGAATCTCGAAATGCCCAGGCATTTTTACTTACATGTATGTACGCTCATATACATACAGGGTGTTCGGCTACCTCTAACAAAAATTTTAATGAGCGATAGTAGAGGCCAAAATAAGACGAAAATCAAGAATACTAATTTGTTGATGGAGGCTTCGTTGCAAAGTTATTAACATTTAAAGTTCCGCCTGTAGAATGACAATCCGCTAAACAGCTGCGTTCGCGCGGACGGTTGCGGCAGGCGAGTGCTAGTGGTTCTCACGCAGCATGAAAAATTCTGTTTACCGACATTATCGACAGCCTTAGATTTTTGTCCACTTATGGGAATGCGAACACCTTACGTTGAATAAGATTCAACCTGTCTTATGAAAATCCAGAAGGGCATATCAAAACTCGCCCGACGAGATTTTCACAGAGAAAGGGTGAATGCCAGTTCCAATACACAATGTTGTGAACAAAAATCACCCACATGCGATTATACACGCCCCACGATTGTCCACAGTGTCCACAAGTATCCACAAATAATCCTTTCAGGCACTAACCACTATGCAATTAAATAAACACGTACCGCGATTATGTTATTCGTGAATGTCTACGTGTACGTGTATCACGATTCTTCCGAGTTACTTACGAATAAAACTGTTATTAATTTTTCAAATACACTTCAATTTAAAAATGTAAAAAGGAATCGCAGGATAAATGAAATTTTCGCATCGATTTACGTTCACGGCGAAGAATGTAACAATACTAGCAGCTGACTGTGCCATCGATCGACGAGGTTCAGAGAAACATATGCCGAACAGGCCCCGATTCTACGTCACTCGCCTCGCTTATCTCTCTCACACACAGCGGAGACAAAGGGCAGCATCGGCACGTGTTCGGCCAGCTAGTCAGTCGTAAAACAGAATCAGTCAAGCTAGTTCATGCGACACATTTTAGACATATTTGATTCAGTTATGTATTAAGTAGCATGTAAGAAATACAGTGATATAAACAATCAGCGAATACTTATTAAATTCCTGTTTACATTTTTAAATTGAAGTGTATTTGAAAAATTAATAACAGTTTTATTCGTAAGTAACTCGGAAGAATCGTGATACACGTACACGTAGACATTCACGAATAACATAATCGCGGTACGTGTTTATTTAATTGCATAGTGGTTAGTGCCTGAAAGGATTATTTGTGGATACTTGTGGACACTGTGGACAATCGTGGGGCGTGTATAATCGCATGTGGATGATTTTTGTTCACAACATTGTGTATTGGAACTGGCATTCACCCTTTCTCTGTGAAAATCTCGTCGGGCGAGTTTTGATATGCCCTTCTGGATTTTCATAAGACAGGTTGAATCTTATTCAACGTAAGGTGTTCGCATTCCCATAAGTGGACAAAAATCTGAGGCTGTCGATAATGTCGGTAAGCAAAATTTTTCATGCTGCGTGAGAACCACTAGCACTCGCCTGCCGCAACCGTCCGCGCGAACGCAGCTGTTTAGCGGATTGTCATTCTACAGGCGGAACTTTAAATGTTAATAACTTTGCAACGAGGCCTCCATCAACAAATTAGTATTCTTGATTTTCGTCTTATTTTGGCCTCTACTATCGCTCATTAAAATTTTTGTTATAGGTAGCCGAACACCCTGTATATTATTAATACGATCACTCAAAATCAAAATACTTGTACTTTTGAATTTTCCTAAAGGCATCTGCTGACCATCGCTGACCACTGCTAATACTTCTGACAACATATAACGATTACTACTGACTTCTGCTGGCCTCTGCTGACCGCTGCTGACCACTACTGATACTTCTGACAACGTATAACGATTACGACTGGTTACTGCCACCCTCTCCCAGCCTCTGCTGACTTCTGCTGGTTTCTGTTAGCTTCTGCTGACCATCGCTTATATTTTTGACAACGTATAACAATTATTACTGACTTCTGCCACCCTCTACTGACCGCTTCTGATACTTCTGACAATGTATAACGATTACTACTGGCTACTTCTTGCCCCTACTAGTCTCCGCCCTGCCTATGTTGGTATCTACTTGCCTCTACTAGTGACCAACTTGAGTTAGCAGATAATGTCATAAAACTGTTTTACCCAGACCTAACCCCTTTTTACCTGAAGTATAAGATAACATCATCAGATTATTACCTCTTCGAAGATAATATTAAAGAAACTCATGGAACGGTCGGGAACACTAACAGAGGATTAATGGAAATTATGCCATTGAATAAATAAATAAATATACAGTCGAATTTATTTAGAATAAAAATGCACGTACTTTCCATTCAACACAGTATGATTATAACGATATTAAATGTTTCTATATGCACGTTGATAACTGTTACGTGAGAGTATTTGTATTTAACATGTTAATGGTATTTCGTTTCAAAAGTTAGTAAATTTATACGACTTAATTGACATAATTGTTTGTTATAGCGTATACCGTGACCAAGAAAAATTTGAACGAGTATTGTAAGTATGTAAATATAAAATTAGGCTTCGATCAGTAAGCCATATTTAAGGCCGATGTTGGTCAAGTTTTGTGTAGCAGATACACGTAATACGGCAAGCGCAATAGACGTAATAGCAACTATTCCTTCCAGATAAAATCCGTACAATACTCTCACGTGGCCAAGTATCGTTGAAAGACCACCGGCAGCCGTAAAATCCAAAGGAAAGAGAACGCTTGCTGCAATCGGTCTGTGTCTAGCTACTCCGAAACACATAATTCCCATCAGATAGTAACTACCTAGAATTTGAAAACATTCGTTTATAGTTAATTGAATCAGTATCTGTAAATAAGATTTGTACACGGACGAGTTTTGTAATTTGTTCTAGAAGTATATTTTTGTAAATGTTTTTCGTAACTTAAAAGGAATTGTATACGTACAAAAGAAAATCATGCGTAACGATATTTCAGAGCGCCAGTAATATTTTCTATAATTTAATAATTACCTAGACAAACGAAGGGTACAATTTTGACCCACTTGGGCACTGGTGTCATTTGTCCTTCAGTTTGCTCGCATTCAATTTTTTTTCTGGCTATAGCATATCTCTGTAATCGTAATGCCCATATGAGGCCAAAGTTCATAATCAAAAGAAAGTGTGCGGGTATACCAATCGCTGCAAAAATTACGGTCACTGTTCGACCAGCCGTAGTGCGTGGAACCGGAGCACCAAAACCTACGATAAATCGAACAAACGAGATTAAATGACTGCAATTTTCAGGGACGAACTATAATCGGGCCAAAGAATCGATTTGGTTAAAAGGAGAAAAAATTTCACACGAACAGGAGCATCCATTATTTGATCTTCGTTGCCTATACTTGTCCCGGAGACTAGAGCGATAACAAACATTAGGGGGGCGTTAACAATGTAGTTCGAGTGCAATCGCTGAAGTGGTTAGGTATAATCTCATCAAACATACATTTTTTAAGCACTGTCATCAGCGACAGTGTATTTTATAACGAGTTTTGTAACAAAAAATTGTTGTATTTTTAGCATTGAGACTTGGCCGAAACGTTGCCAATATTTGGACCCACCTTAATCAGAAGAATCTACAGTATAGAAAAATATATTTTTCGTACCTAAAGTAGTGAGAAGGGAGATGGAAAAGAGAACACATCCAGGAAACGTCCAAAGTTGTCCCGCGTTTCCACTTTCGCCGTATCCAGCACTGACAGCCATCAACAATACTTCTTCGTGTTTTGCTACATACTGGTGTACTTTGTTACTCCAAAGTGGCTCTACGTCCTCCTCTTGTTCTGTTCGTAATTGTCTCAACTCTGTCGCCAGGCCGACCGCTAAAGTTTTCTGCATATTCTTTAATTTCACAACTTGTTCGCGCTCGCGTGGTCCTTCGGTTGCACAAAAGGCAAACGCACCAGCGATTGCCCAAATGGTAAGTAACCATGATAAACCTGCAACAAATTCAATCGTATTCAATAACAAAATGTCTCGAAGCATAAAATCACTTCTTTCCTATCGATCGATTAAGGGGCCATTCTACCTTGTAGGCATGAAAAATACGTGTTTCTTTGTGATTTTTTTTTGCGGGTTATTAAAGAGCGATTAATTCCGGATTTTGTAGATACATTTATTATATATTTAGCTATATTTACGAATTTTTGCAACGCATAATATCTATTGATTACGCTGTTTTTGTTGATCATCAAACAACAGTTTTTACGAACGGCACCCGACTGCGTACTTACGTGATATCTTGCGAACAAGTTATTCGAAATCCTAAAACCAACGATATTCTTAATACAGATGAGTGTGGTTATAGCATGAACTAGGATCTTTTCAAAAAAACAAAAAATGGCAAAATGGCAGCTATTTTACGAAAAAATACTGAATATTTTCATATATTTGGTTGCTTTTTTGTTAATAAAAGAAAAAGTATTGCATATATCGCAATTATCCTAGTTCATGCTATAGGGAGACCAGTTCTGAAGATACTGTATAAATTTGATGTTTATATCTTGAATAGTTTTTTAGTTATCACGCACGCAGTGCCGAAAGATGTAGTTTCGAGAAAAACAACTTTAAAGTTTCACGTCTAGTTGTTATACCTACGCGCGGTACATTTCAGCAGGCTATAACTTCGTTAGGTTTCCGAATTTCAATTTAATATTTGGTAGACATATTTTCGAGACTACATACTAAAGGAAAATGCAAAAAAAAAAAATATCGATTTTTTTAATCCCACAAGGTAGAAAGGCCCCTTAAGAGTAACTTATTTACTTCACTTTTAAAAATCGGTACACGCGCATTATTTAAATAACCAACGACCACCATAGCAGTAGACGCGTTAATTTCTAGCAAATTAGGATAAATTATGAAAAACAACAAATTATCGATTTATTTTTACCGAATAATGAGAGCGATAGTCTTCCTAAAAATCTAATATGCTTCCATATTCTGGAAGATATTTTTGAATTAGTTGTATCACTTTCTTCAATAATGTCCTTCACAGATGGCAAAAGTCTTAGTCGTAATGGTAAACCAACTATAGTTTGAATAGCTACCGATTTCAGTGATTTCTTAGGTTCTATTACTGGTTTATATCGCCGAGCAAACTCTTCTGAAATCGTCGTAGGCGAACCTGTGAACAATAGATTAAATCATTATTATACAATTTCTCGATTTTCTGCTATTGGAGGAAAATTATCCACATTCATATGATACGTAAGCATTAGAGATTCTTTTCCATCATAAATTAGTTGGCGTTCACTGTTATTTTTGTTATTTATTTTACTTCTTTAGTCAGTATGACAATGATATCGATTAGTCTCGTATGCGCTGTTATGTACTGATTATTATTTTATAGATGCGCGAGTGCGTTTAGGAGGATATACTCGTTTCATTCATTGTAAGAGCGAAAATGTACGCGGAAAAATCGGCACACATTTAGAAAAATAGGGAATCTTCTAAAAGACTGGGAGACGTCCTAATTAATTTTGTTAATATATTACTCCCTAAAACTGTAGTTTGTTACAAAATCAAAAAAAAAATATCACCTTTTTGGAAATTGTTCTAAACGCTCGACATTGCTATGTCAGCGTTTAACTTTTCACACGCTCCTTCTCCGCTATTTTAAACTTTAAAGGTGGTTTAAATTCCGTTTCTTCATTTTCTGCCCTTGAAACGAAACCTGCTCTACTTTATTGAATCCTCTTTCATTGAAAATAAAAGAAATTACTAAACAGGCAGGAATGAAATATTGGATGCGCGAAAAAGCTTTGATGGATTCTCGATCAGTACCCTTTTGTTTAAAACAATAGACCGTCTATTAAAATTCTTTCTGATCGATGCAACAAACTACTGTCGATTGTTACAACCAAAAGTGGATGCTTTGAGCAGGCAATTTTATTGAACATTAATATCGAAGATGGATAGCAACAGAAAACTATATGCGACGCGTTTGATGAGTCCACTGCGTCGCTTCGAACCCGTGAAAGATGACTTTCTAAATTCAAACCTGGCGATTCTTTTCTGAACGATGAATCTCGCTACGATTTTTTTTATTAATAACAAAATCCATCGAAATTTTTGCACGTATCCGATATTTTGCTACACAATTCGATAGAAATAAGAGCCAATACTCGTACCGATGGCACATACTACATCATCGTCGTCTTCTTCGTTGTTGCTGCGTCGTCGTTCCGTCATTGTTATACGGAACTCGGTGACACGGTGTCCGATCTGGTCCCTCGAGTTAGGATAGACCAGGTTCCTGCGAGTACAACGTTGTATCCTATGGAGTCCAGACGTGCGTCGCGATTTCGACACATATCGTCTACGAGGACAGGCGACCGTGGGCAATGGAACGCGTGTGAACTTTGCAATATCTACTACATCACTAAGAGGCGACGGTGCACCCTTGAATGTCGGTGGTGCTGGAAAAAGGGGCACGTCCATCGAGGAAGGTCGAGGTGACGGTTACTATAAATTATAACGCAATCACGCCCGGTCACTTCCCCTTAATCCTCTTACAGTCTGTCTTATAAGAGCGTGTCGGTGATATCTTCGAAACTTAGTATCTAATAAAAGGGATACAGTGGTAATCTAAACATGTACACTCGTACAAAGTATTCGAAATCTCGCATTTATAACATACAACTAATTAAACAGGTATGTTAAATCGAAGCAATATAACGCATATAAAAGGGATAGGTCCTAAGAGTACATATGTGAAATTAGAAAATAATTCAACAATATACATCGTTTTTACAATATATTTATTGTAAACCCGCAACATCAGAAGTGGCTCACAAAAATATTTGAGCGGAATCGAAATTTAATGTTCAAATTAAACAGTTGAAAGCTTTAAGAGGGAGTTGGCCTACCGTTTGCTCTCACAACTACCCTAAGTCCGTTTTTCCATCAAGTGGAGTAACTTAAACGCAATATTTCTATCGATTGCCATGTTTCAATAATATTTTGTTTTAACGCTTCTTCTGAAGTTGTAACCGTATTTCTTCATCGTTTTTCTACTTGGTTCTCTAAACAATAGTTTCATTTCTAGAAATTATGGGTGGAAATAGAAATATTATAGTTTGTAGAATAAAGAAAATTCAAATAAGAGATTTTTTTTTATAAACGAACCACTGATTCTTTAAATAAATAAGCAAGTAAAATGTAAATTGAATAAGTGATTAGAATTTGTAGGTCAATCTATGGCAGCATGTGTCACATATCAGTGAATACACATGCTAATATCTGCCCACCTTCATTGTTGAAAGAACGCAATTCCCACTGCGTCGTTTATCGCGAGTAATTTTAATACTGTCCATTGTAATTATGCATTTTAAATTGCATAAAATCATTCCTTCCTGTTCTTTTATGTTTAACGTTTCGCTCTTGTTGCTTGCTCTTCTTTAACAATGCAAGGTTTATGCATTGAAATTTATACAAGTGCCACGTGTTTGCAAATGTCCCGGTTATACGAATACTTTCATAGTATGCTAAATATTTGAACTCTTAAAGTCTTAACAAATTTTTAATCGTCAACGCGTTAATTTACCTGTATATTCTTCAATTTATTTAACATTATTGACACGAGCAATAAATTTTAAATATTCAGGAAACGCGTCAGCTTTGGATCGTAAAAATATTCCCCTTGAAATTATGACGGGTGACACGCGAAATACGCGTTTTCATAGGAAACAGAAAGCTAATCTAACTTCTGTTCTATGCTTGAAGGATACCTGTCAGAGCAAATTCAAGAACTTCGAATATAGGTCGAACGCAGGCGTTAGTATTTTTGATGTTTAGAATCGTAGGCGGCTTGATGTACGATAAAGAAGCTAGTATTTATTTTTTAAACGATGCATAGCATCGGAGCGCCGTAGTGAGATGTGAAAAACAACAGTTTTATTAATTAATTGAAAAAATACGATTATCGTACGAGTGTAACTTTCCATACAAATTGATAAACATTTATATATTATTATTTAAACTCATAAGTCCGGGATAAGTGTATCTAGCTTATATTTATTTTTTAAAATAATTTTTATTATCTTAATTTTCAAGACCAAATGATTTCTCTATTCGTTGGCAAACGCTGAATAATTATTAAAACTATAATATTTCTATTTATAATTTCTAGAAGTGAAATTCTCGAACTTTGAAGCTCCCCTAGATCGTTCACTTTAGATATAATTTGTGTACATACGAACATCACAATTAACGAACGTTAATCACAAGTCGCAACGTCACAGAACAGATTAAAAATGTTTCACGCGTTAGGGAACGAGACGGTCAGATTGAAAATATTAACGAAGAGAAAGAGTCCATGCGGCTCTCGGAACAATTTGGAAACTACTGGCTTCCGTAGAATTGAATTTTAATAGATTTGCCGCGTTGCATGCTACGGCGAAAGGTGTAGTAGCGTAAACGGTTTCCCATCGGTACACTAAAATTAGAACACAGCCTTGAGATCAATTGCGTTGACTTTAAGCGCCATTCATACCTCGGGCCTTACAAATCGAGAATCTGTTAATTTCTTCGATTAAACATATTCGACCCTGTTACAACTTCGTACTTTGAAAACACGATTCCGATATAACACATTACAAATATTACGATAGCTCCCCTATAATACGGTCTCCATATAGCATGATTTAATGAACATCGACAGCTTTCATATTGAAGCGACTTTGATTAAAGCGTTACATTTTCATTGTAATACGCGAACTCTTAGAAACATTGGAACGATTTTATTTACTTTTTTACATATATTAATTCATGTTATGGAACGGTATCATCCCTGTGTTTGTATGTTTTTATATCTTAACACGGTTTCAGCAAGTAACGAATTAACCTTGTTATAGGAGGGTCAACCGTACATTAGAAACTGGTATCGCAGCGTGGTCAGAAGCTCCGAGAACAACATTTTGTTCCAAAGAATAAAGACACGTTTCTTTGGGCAGCGATAAAAATGTAAGATAATTTATAAACGTATTTGTAATAAAAAATTACCGTCCGATATATTGAACATTGTTTTTCATGGCTGCAAGTAATATTTGTTCGCGATAAACGAGAAGCGTACTTTATTTTTTATCAAACCGGTTATATATTATTGAAATTTCTCAATAAAAAATTATATTAAGAGAAACGTATATTATTGTAAAAAGTAATATAGATTCAACAACCTTGGATCGTACGTTCCTATAGCATCGTACGTTCTTTCGAGCGTTCATTATTCAGTTCACGACTAGTTCATGTACGATCCGATGAATAGTAACCGTTAAGTTTGTTTGTTCTATGCCGTGAAGTTTCTTTCGAACGAAAATAAATTATTATGATTCGCTTCCAAGGATCGGTGATTAGAACGTTGCATCGGTCAGCAATAATTAATGTTTTTAAGGAACAATTATTTCCTAAGGCGAGTTACTTTCGTTACTTTGCTGTATTATGACACGTTATTTCGCCGGTATAGCGACTGTTGCTATATTTGTCGAGTAATCGTAGAAAACGATGCGCGAAAATACTAGACCCAGCTCGTCGTTGTTCTCTGTTTAAACTGTCGCGTTTAACGATCAAAGAAATTTATTACAGACGAAAGTTATAAATTTGGGCAAGTCGCATTGAGGCTTGGCACGCTTGCGCCGCATCGATCCATAATTGGCGGTCTCGCCCTTCCGCATAGAACAGCAGTGTGGAAACACAGGTTCAATGAATCTATCGCGCTCGTAATATGGAAGATCGTTTCCTTGACCACGATCGTCGAAAAATCGAGAAACGCGGTCTGTGCGAACAAGAGAACGATGCGCTGCTCGGGTCGAAGGCTGTTGCTCTGGCTTGGGCCAGGGTTCACGTTACTTCTCGTCCTGGTGGGACGTTTGTTGGTCGGTCGTGGGTTTGGTCAACCGATTCCAGTGATCGGTAACGACGTCGTCCTAACGCCAAAGGGCCATTCGATTCCCCGTCAACGCGCGGAAACCGTAGCGCCGGCGTTCGTGGCGGGCACGTATATGGCGGGTCTGCAACCCAGGAACAGTTCTTGCAGATGGTACCACGGTCTACCGGATGTTATATCGTATCCGGCGTCCAAAGTCACCTGGAGCCCGGAAATCGGTGAGAAGAGCCCCTACAGAGTCCTACCGTTTGTATTAGTTGGAACCGAGGAGAGGAACAAGCTGCCCCAGGTGACACTCTGCACGCACGCAACTGCAGATCATGTCTATGGAATCGTGGAGTTGGTCAGGAGATGGGAGGGCCCGTTGAGTCTGGCCGTTTTTACACCTGGCCTCGACGCTGGTACCGCCGTTGCTCTCCTCGATCGGGCCTGTCGATGCGAACCCGAAATGTACAAGGTTTCCCCATGCACTCGATGTCAGAACGGGTCGCTAGAAGCATGATTACATTCAAACGCTATTCTCGATTACGATTCACGCGACTTTCATTCCACTCTACGGCTTTTGCATCCAACGTTCACCCTTTTGCAAATCGATCTCACCTGTATCGTAACGTTACCTGTCACGTAATACCTGAGAAAACGAGTCTCTAGAAAAACATCGAGAAAGGGTGAACACGATCTGGAAAAGGGTCAATTCCGGAGTGCAAACTTGTAAATATCCGCTATCTCGGTCAAATTACACAAAAGCCCTTTTTGTACGTTGAAATTGCTCGACAGATTATTATTTTTTTGTATTATTATCATTACAGGAACATAATTGAAACAGAACGATATCGAGATCGATTTCTTGAAACGAATAGTAACTCGGCAAAGTAGTATATCTCACGATGCTTGTAAAATATTTATTAGGTAGACATAGGTACATTGAATTAGATAAATTATATTGTGAATTAGTGACTACGATAAAGAACGCTCTAATTGCGAAGGAGTAGAGGTACAGGATCGATGGCGTTGCGATTCTAATTTATATTATTTCGCAGGTTTCTGTCCATTTGGTATTCCCGACGGCCCGTCCGCCGACTTTGGGCGAAACGATCAAGACCCACGGCGATTGTGCCGCGTCCGATCTCCAAAGGGGAGAAGCAGAAACGGAAAGAAAGCAGAGAGGCATGACTTATCCTATTAACGTGGTCAGAAATGTGGCCAGAACGCAGGCGAACACCAGCCGTGTTCTAGTAACGGACATTGAACTTTTGCCCAGCGAAAAACTGGCGTCCGGTTTTATGGAAATGGTACGCGGCAGGTCACCGAAAACTGGAGTCGTCTTCGTGGTGCCGGTTTTTGAGATCGAAGCGAACAAGCAGCCACCCTCGACGAAAAAGCAACTACTTTTGGCAACGAAAGCTGGTGTAGCCGTATATTTTCATAGGTTTGTGCGAACAAATAGAATGATACATCGATAACATTATTATTATATACTATATACCACCTATCTTGGAGATAAAGAATTATTATTGGTTGATATTTAAAAACGAGACGTTTGGTAATATTGAATTCCTTAAAAAATATTCACCTTTTGTAGGTTCCTTTGCTCGCATTGCCAAAGATTTCCTGGCCTCACTAGGTGGATGCTTAGACCAGACCCAGGCAAAGTCAGACCACTTATTTTTACTAAAAGAGAATATCCGCATCATAGGTGGGAGCCCATTTTTATTGGAACACGCGATGATCCATTGTACACGGAAGATATGTCTTGGGAAGGCAGACAAGATAAAATGTGCCAGGTGCAATACGAAATTATTTATAGAACTGAAATTTTTAGACGATACAGATTTTATCAATACATATTGCCTCGTGTAAACGCTATTATGAATTTTTGTACAGCGATAAGAAATTTATTTGTTTCGCGTTCAGAATGGTATTCCGAACATACGTATTACGATTCTAATTTCGCAATAATCAACGCTGTTATTTTTTTTTTTTTTTTTTTTTTTATTTAAGCAATTGAAACCCTTCTGGATTTATTTCGCTTTACAGAAATAACATAAATGGGTACAATAATATAGAATACAGAAATAATACAAGAGAATATAATAATAATACAAGTGAATACAGTAACAATGTCCGTTAACACTAAATACGTAAATTACAATTTTTGAAAAAAGAATGAATACTAAGACAAGCTTCAATATTTGGCTTCGCTATGAGTGTGTCTATATTAAGAGGTAGTTGGAGGCCCATACTGAGTAGGGCTTTCGTTAGCTTCCAACGCTATGTTATCGCTGTATAATAATATTTATTTATTTATTTACTCCTTGTAGATGTTCGAAATGTGTCTTCTAAATTATCGACTGGTTATACTTGACGGTGCCTTTTTAGTCCATACACCAGGTATTAAACGAAAGAGAATAAAAGTTGATCTAGCGAGACAAGAATTATTGAGGCCTCACGAAAAAAAAAACGCTCAGATCTATCAACGCGTAATCAAGCGCTTATTGAAGCAATATCCCGTCAATCGAAAATGTGCACATTGATATTAAACGATGATACAAATATCCAATATTGCTTCGATGCAGGATACGAAATAGATTTTTAACAACTAACGCTCTCTAATCTAAGATCGTTGCCCTGCTATTTTATTAATGGCATTATTTTTACAAAACATACATCGAGCATCATCCAATATTTTCATTCTCGAAAATTTTATAATGCACGGTGAATCAATTGAGAACATTCGCCTATACATATTTACATATAATTGCTTGCATGTAGAATATAAGAATAGTATAAATATTAATAAATACGGCGCGTGAATGAGAGTTGTACAACTGTTTTTACTAACTGATCTGAATATGTATACAAGAAACAGGTGCATATTAGAATGTTATCAGTTTAATCTAAACATAGATAAAAATTCGGCTATTATACAAGATTAAGATTGTACAAGAATAAATTAATTAAATAGATTTTATCTAAATAGTTCATAATATTTGAACCGATAAAACTGAACGTTTTTTTGTTAAAAAAAAAATTAAAGGTATGTCGGGACAGAGTATAAGAAAGTGCAAATACAGGTGTCTCGAATATTCAACTTATCAAATAAGATTAAGAATTAAACGAAATTTAATTTAATTGTACAAGATTTACGTATTGTTTTTATTTGATACGGATAAGGAAACGCCGAAAAACCAAGTGTTTAGATCTTATATATCAGCAGCAGTAATCGATCTATATTTTCTTAGATTTGCTGTAATGTTCAAATTTGTAACCGAGTTGTAAATAAACTGAATACAAAATTTTGCATGTGACATGTTTTTATTGACAGAGGATTAACGTCGATTATCAAGTATACAAAAATAATGAAAATCGTTCGGATGAACGTTTACCTTGTTCGATTTCTTAATATAACGCAGAGCCTGCACGGAAGCCATTTCTTAAAGGAAATGCTCTAAACGACCGCATTGGGATTCGATGCAAGCTTTTCCACGTCTTCTTATTAACCTTCCCGTGCGTTCAAAAATTTCGGCAGCTGCTTTGATTCGCAGATAACTATTTCTTTGATATGTTAACAAAGTAATCAAGCGTTATCTACCGTTCTACTATAAGGTCTTCTAAGTCTCGTATAAAAATTCATTTGATTTAAATGTGGAGCACAAGGTAATCAAATAAATTGGTCTTCTGTACTGATCCGTTTCGAGAAATTGTTTATTTAAACATTGCCTCGCTACGCGATAAAGATATGTCACATGTGTCGAACAGTTTCTAGTGGGATATCTCCCGTTAATTTATTCGTTTCTCGGACAGTTGTGCGCGTAAGTAAAATGATATTATTTTTTTATTGTTATTATAACTTGGAACGATTCTCGTATTATTTTCGACATACTTTAGCGATACGTTGTTTCCTTCGTTGTTAAAATTCCATTAATGCGCATACTTATTGACAAAACTGAACGGTTTGCCGGGATAAAAGACGAGGTTATCCATGAATCATTTGTTATCGGAATGATTACAGACGTTCTAACGTGCATTTACAAGAAACGGTTGTGTAACTAAAGTATATGTTGATCTGCAACGGCAGTACATGTATCGAAGTATGTACTAACTTTGACAACGAAGTGTAGAATCAACGATCCAGATTCGAGAAAAAATAAATATTTGAACGATTCGTCGATGAATTATTATTTCGCGCGACACAGGGTTGAAAACTAACAATCGAGGAAGGAATTGAACGACGTATTCAAGTGTACGGGCGCAGTCTTCGAGCGGTGGCGTTTCAGAGTAGAGCAGAAAGGTAGTTGAAGTTTGCGCTACAAAGCAATTTGAGTGGGTATATTCGTTTAATCATTTCAGTTTAACGATTTTTTTTTAGAGAGAAATTAATGGACTTACGATATAACGTGCACAACTGATTGTAGGAATTCAGACGATGAATATATTAAAGAATATCACGTCGGCTTTTTGGTCGACTGATGTTTGGTTACCGCCTAACATAACATGGGACGATATCAAACCAAATTCAGAAAACAAATACGCAGACTATCATCATTTAATTTATCCTTTACCTATGGCACTTATTCTTTTGATAATCAGATACGCCTTTGAGAGGTAATAATCGTTCGTTTTTTCTCATTCATTTCCGAAATAATTCCAACACTCTCGCTCGGACTAAGGTTATACCGTATCCGTTCTATTACTCGTATTTTATGTTGTCAGAAACATTCTGTCGGTCTTATTGTATCTTCTGATTAACTTGTTAAATGTACAATGTAAATTAAGTTATTAATATAGACTAGTCACAAGTAGCGAGCAATATGTATATGTATACATAGAGCAGGCAGTATTATGTGAAAAATTCTTACATTCTTTGTATTAGAATATTGATCAAGTTACATTACATGATTTAATTTGTTAATTGATCTACAGGTATTGTTTTACACCATTTGGAAGGTCTCTCGGTATAAAAAATACAAGAACAAAAAAAGCACCTCAAAATGATATATTAGAAAAAGCCTATGTTAGTAGAAAAATTAAGCATAAACAGGTAAGCCTATTTTAAGTGTTTTAAAGACACGTAAGTTTGAAGCCACTGTGGTAGTCAGCTTGTTAATTAACTTTTTCATGCGTTCAATCGATAAAATAACAAACTCCATTTATGTTATTCATGTATTACAAAACTACTTTTAATACGTGTGATTGAATAAATATTTTATTAATTAAAATATATACATAAAATTAAATATTACTGGTTGTTTTGTAATATATGAATATATTTTAAGCTGTTAGGATTGGCTAAACAATTAGATTGGTCAGAACGACAAGTAGAAAGATGGTTGCGATTGAGACGTACTCAAGACAAGCCATCTACGCTTACAAAGTTCTGTGAAAACAGGTTAGCATTTTATTTCGAATTTACTTAGTTAAAAATTGTATTACATTTATTAAAGTGTAATAATATATGATAGAGATAACTTAGTCTTCAAGTATTCAGTACGTTCCAAATTTTTTTTTACAGTTGGAGGTGTTTGTATTATACATACTCGTTTCTTTATGGCCTTATTATATTGTGGAGTAAGCCATGGTTGTGGGATATAAATTATTGTTATTATGATTATCCGTATCATCCAGTTTCGGACGATGTATGGTGGTACTATATGATATCTATGGCATTTTATTGGTCCTTAAGTTTCTCCCAATTTTTTGATGTCAAAAGAAAAGATTTTTGGCAAATGTTTATCCATCATATTGCCACTATTGTTCTAATGTGTTTTTCATGGGTTGGAAATTTAACCAGAATTGGTACATTGGTACTATTAGTGCATGATTCAGCAGACATATTTCTGGAAGTACGTATAAGCACATACATATTAATGTATATATGTATGAAATTCTAAAATTATATATATATATATATATATATATTTTTTAGGCTGCAAAGATGGCTAAGTATGCTAATTATCAAAAATTATGTGATTGTATATTTGTTATTTTCACAATACTATGGATTATTACGCGTATCGGAGTTTATCCATTTTGGATAATTTATAGGTATGTTCTATCAATCTCATATATTATCTCTCATATGTGTATGGCCATAAGCTATTTGGCGTGATTTAGCCCGGCCATACTCATCAAAGGGTTAATATATTTTAATGTAATTAAATTATGTTTTTAACTAGTCATATTGTATTTTATAATTACAGTACATCGGTAAAAGCACCTAAGATAGTACCAATGTTCCCAGCATATTATATTTTCAATTCTCTATTAATTTTATTACTACTTCTTCATATGATTTGGACGTATTTAATCCTTAAAATTGCATATAATGCTTTTTATGCTGGTCAAGTAAGTTATACTGCTGTAAACCTTTTTCTAAAATGTAATTTCGGTATTTTTTATTTTATATATGTCATTTTTTAGATGGAAGGGGACATTCGTAGTAGTAGTAGCGAAGATGTTTCGGACACCTGCGTGGATAGTACTTCTTTAAACAATACTACAAATTACATTACCAAACAAAATTCAAGACAAAAAGTTCACTAACAAATAACTTTCTAAAATAGTTATGGTAACAGTAATAAGGCAAGAATCCAAATATTTAGCCAGGCGCTAATTTATTTCAGCAAATCTATCGAAGTCTTGCATTTATCGTAGAATGGTAATTTAAAACTACAACTTTCATAAAGTTATAAACAGGTGATGAACCTTTGAAATATTTACTTTCTTTATCGTTACTAATATTTTCTGAATCAATTTAGCGCTTTTATACAATATATGAGAGGCAAACACTTCTTGCATACATCAACTGTTCATTCATTACTCTTAGTATTATTAAGTACGAAAAAACGAACATTAAAAACTACGAATTACTCTTCTTATTAATTGTATCATTTATTTATATGTATTTTATTTAAAAATTTAAGAAGTACAGTAGTGCCCACATAAGTGACCACGTTCGGGACCGGAAGAGGATAAATGCGAGTGAGATACAATAGTTGCCACCCGAAACCATACAATGTATCGATAATGGCCGGCATCAAGTTACGCTCGTCACGCTCGATATTCGAAGCTGCTTGGCTTCTAAGAATTGGTGGGGATAACCGCGGTCATTTAAGTGGGCAAAAATGCGGTCAGTTATCTGGGCACTACTGTACATGTTTTTTACGAATAGTCAAATTATTTAATTAAACAAGTGATGGACCAAAGCTGGAAAATATTTAATATCTGTACTTTTTCAGTCTTATCAAGGCTTAGTAATTGATTATGCATAAAGGCGATTATTTATTCACTTATATTTTATAAATGTCAAACGGTGTCTTAAAACTTGTGAATAAGAATACTAATTATATTTCGAATGAGTTGAATTGTTTAAAATTAATTGTCCCTATTATACATGCAGCTTTCTAGGAATATTTAATTCACCTAATTCATATAATATTAAAATAGCGTTCCTTACATTAAAATAAATGTATTCTCCACTTTATGCTAGGGAGCGCATATGAAAATTAGGCTATAAAAGAAATCTTCAATATAATACGAATAAAAATAATTCAAAAATGTACATAGCAATTTATTTACATACATTACAAATAAAGCAAAATATGTGTAGATGTATAATACATTCTTGATAATGTTTCTTTTTTATGTGTGCAAAAATTTTATTGTTTCCTGATCTATAAGTTCATTTTAACGCAAAACAATAGTGGGAAATGTGTGATGTGACAGGTAATTTCAGAATTTAAAATTAGCGCCAATTGTTTCGGTAAACTCGCCATATTTGATAGACTATATTGAATCGTAAACTTTCTTTTTAGTCACATTCTTCTTGCTTTACTTTATGACCGAATATATGAAAAGGTCACCTTGAACTGTCGTTTCAATTTTAGCGGGGTTTAGGGTTTTACCGTGTTGTAATTTTTAACATTATTTCCTATTTGTGAGCGAGTAAATAATTAAAAAAATAATCATGGGAGGAAAGTGGTCAAGTATGGATCCTTCTCAAGTTGAAGTACCAGAATTAAAGGCTTTATTAGAAAGAGATCCATATTTACAACCATATGAAACTGACATTCGCAAAAGGTATTGTATTTTTAGTATACATAAACGTATGTTTCTTAAAAAATTGCAGTTAACAATTAGTAATCCTTATAGCTTATTGCTCTAATTGCTTTAAGAGTTCTTTTTTCTAAAAGCCGAGTACTTATTTTATTACACACTATTATAGTTTAAGTAATATTTATTGTCTAAATAATGTTTTAGTTTTTTATTTAAGCTTTAACTAAATTAATAATTTTATTTATTAGATATGCATTGTTCAAAGATTATGTGGATAAAATAGAAACTGGTTCTGGTAATTTAGATAAGTTTTCAAGGGGATACGAAACTTTTGGAATACATATTAAAGAAGACAATAGTGTTGTTGCAAGTGAATGGGCACCTGGAGCACAGGAATTATTTTTAATGGGAGAATTTAGTAAGTAGTTTAAAATTAAACATTATTTTTAACCAACTGATTACCCATTGATATGGTCCTTTTTGTTATTGCTTGCTCTAAATCTTTTGCAAAAAAATAATTTTGTTTGCATATGCCTAATACATATTTTGTTCTTTTATTATTAGATAATTGGAATAAAACACTTAATTCGTACAAAAAATTGGAGTATGGCAAGTGGGAATTGCATTTAGCTCCTCTTCCTGATGGTAGTTGTCCTATAAAGCACCTTTCAGAAGTTAAATTAATTGTCAAGAATCATAATAATGAATTGTTAGAAAGATTAAGCCCTTGGGCTACATATGTTACACAAAATCGGGCTGAGTCTGCTACGTATAAACAACGTGTATGGTGTCCATCGGCTGAAAATGTATGTAAAGATACAAATATATATATTTATTTAACTTAACACATACACACACACATATAAAGTTCTTCGGCATGGTTTTTGAAATGACCTCTAGTACTCAGATGATTAATGCTGTTCTATGAAGTCATGTTTATAAAGATAAAACAGTATTGGATAGTAGTAACCAATCAATAATGTTTGAAATTGGTTGTTACTATGTGTTTTCCTTCCAAAGTTATTTAAGGAATAACATACCATGCATGAATTTGCGATTTTGTCAGTTACAATACAAGCAATAAAAATGTACCGTCCCCTTTGATAAAATGTTGATAACCTTAGAATTCGAAATCTGTGACCTTAAGAAAAAATCCAGCTTATCATAATATATGCCTGTTTGTAACAAATAATATTTTCTTAATAGACTTTTTACACACAAAAATATTGTGGAAATATATAGGGTCGTCAGGTGGCTTCTTTTTTTCAAAATATATTTACTTGTAATTAGAATACTTATTCTTTAAAATAGTATAAACGCGAATCGAGAAAAATAATTTCTCTTTGAATGGATGAGAAATCTTTATTAAGCATATTATCTAATAAAGTCGAACAAATATCATTCTCGTGTACAAATACATTTAAAATGATATCTGTTGATACAGGTTTATAAGTTTAGGTACCCTAAGCCAAAGAAACCAGAAAGTCTTAGAATTTATGAATGTCACGTCGGTATTGCGACCCAAGAATTAAAAGTTGGCACATATTTGGAATTTGCTAAAAATCTAATTCCGCGTATTGTAAGACAAGGTTACAATACTATACAATTAATGGCTATTATGGAACATGCTTATTATGCCAGCTTTGGATATCAGGTATGAATTATGTATTTATAGGAAGTAAACCTTCTTAGCAACGCATAGTACAACAAAACAGAGAAAAAAGTTGAATCCTTTGTGCAACGCTGTCTTTTGATAATACAATTTCTCTTCTATTTTCGTAAATATGGTAAAAGTTGGATAAGTGCTGGGACTGATCTACAGCATAAGTGCCCGTTCTTCATCCCCATTACTGAGAGGAGATTCCCTTTGTTATACCACAAAGTTCGGTAGTCGAGAAGGATCCCTTTCTTTTTTATTTGCTGTCCTTTTCTACGTTCGACAACCGACTCGGGCTGTTTCTATAATTAGAATCGATTCATCTACTTTATAACTGCATTTATCCAACTTTGCTCTCTATATATAAGACTTTATATGGAATTAGAAAAATTTATATCCGCATAAGTTTTTAACGCTAACAAAGAATGTTTGGACACATGTACTCATATATGTGTTTAATTAAACTTAATAAGGTAACTTCCTTCTATGCTGTTTCATCTCGCTATGGCACACCAGAAGAATTAAAGGAGTTAATAGATACAGCGCATAAACATGGTCTATATGTTTTATTGGATGTAGTACATTCGCATGCTTCGAAGAATACTTTGGACGGGTTAAATATGTTTGACGGTACTGATAGCTGTTTCTTTCATTCTGGTAATCGCGGTCAACATCCGCTTTGGGATAGTAGACTCTTCAATTATGGAGAATACGAAGTATTACGATTTCTACTTTCCAATTTACGGTGGTATATTGAGGAGTATGGTTTCGATGGATATAGGTATGGAAGCATTAAAATTCGCTTGTCGTAATATAGGATTTACATTATTTACTTACACATAACGTAATACGTAGGTTTGATGGCGTAACATCAATATTGTACCACTCAAGAGGAGCTGGACAAGGTTTCAGTGGTCATTATGATGAATATTATGGTCTTAACGTTGACGTTCAAGGCGTCGTATACTTAATGCTCGCGAATCATATGTTACATTATCTATATCCAGAAGTTACAACAATAGCGGAAGATGTTAGTGGAATGCCCGGAATTTGCAGGTACAATAATATACAGGATGAGGTTTTGCACACTGTGCGTCGCGACTTAAATCATAGTGTAAGGGGTTGAAAATTTATGTCAAGTTACAGGTTTTCAGTTATTTCACACTTTAGTGTAGGAATATTTTAGTGTAAATTAATAAGTAATTACTTTTCATTAATATTGAAGGCCCGTCGCCGAAGGTGGCGTAGGATTTGATTATCGATTAGCTATGGCTATTCCTGATAAATGGATCAAACTTTTAAAAGAAGTAAAAGATGAAGACTGGAAAGTTGGAGATATTTGTTGGGCATTAAGTAATCGCAGGTGGATGGAGAAAACGGTAGCTTATTCAGAATCTCATGATCAAGCCCTTGTAGGCGATAAAACAATTGCGTTTTGGCTTATGGATAAGGAAATGTATACGCACATGAGTATCCTAAGTCCGCCCAGTGCAATTATCGACCGTGGAATTGCTCTCCACAATCTTATTACATTAATCACGCATGCTCTAGGAGGAGAAGCTTACTTAAATTTTATAGGTTAATTTGAAAATGATATAGATAATACGCCATAAATGTTTTTAATATTTTTACAATTAATTCTAAGATATATAAATTTGAAGGTAATGAATTTGGCCATCCCGAATGGTTGGATTTTCCTCGAGCTGGTAATGGAGATAGTTACCATTATGCTAGGCGCCAATGGAACTTAGTAGACGACGAAATGTTAAAATATAAATTCATGAACAATTGGGATCGTGCTGTAAATAATCTCGAAGAAAAATATGGATGGTTGCACGCTAACCCTGTAAAGTTTAAACATACATTTGTATTTAAAAATGCTTGTATATTTTCATAAAAAAATATTTTTTTGTTCGCAGGCATACGTGAGTTGGAAACACGAAGACGACAAAGTAGTTGTCTTCGATCGGGCAGAACTTACATTTGTCTTTAATTTTCATTCGGTAAAGTCGTTTCCTGATTATGCTATTGCAGTAAAAACTCCAGGGACGTATAAGGCTATTTTATGTAGCGATGATAAGGAGTTTGGTGGTGAAAGTCGTGTCGATAATAACGTGAAACACTTTACTAAGCCAGAACCGTTTTCGGACTATTCAAACAGAATGATGATTTACATTCCTTGTCGTACCGCTATTGTCTACGTCCGAGGTAAAGTTATTCTAATATCATCACTTGTTGATTATTTATGCAAGGGGCGTATATCGGTATTTTACCTTTAGTTTTTTGTTACACCTTTATAACTTTTATCGAATCCGAAATACAGATATACCGATATGACGCCATACACTATATGAAAATACCGAGTTCACCGAATACCGGTATTTCTTTCGGTTTTTGGTAATACGCGTGTCTTGGTTTTGGTCTAATTTGCTGGCAAAATACCGGTATCAAGTCCCTGATTTATACTACTGATAATTAATGACTGTCTTATTTTTAGAAACGTGAGTAATTGTTATGGTCATAATCAAACAAGGACTGATATTAAGTTACTATGTGTAAATAAAAAAAAACTATTTTTATACCAAAGAAATAATTCTTAATACTATGTGTTCACTAAATAATACTCTTATTACAAATTATGTACAGCTTACTACAGCTATGTATAACCCAATTTAATAAATACAATGTATTGGATTTGTAAAAACTACACTTTATACTTTATGTATTACTTAAATATTTTGGTATACAGGGTGTTCGGCCACCCCCTGGGAAAAATTTACATAAGTGATTTCAGAGGTCAAAATAAGACGAAAATCAAGAATACCAATTAGTTGATGGAGGCTTCGTTAAAAAGTTAATAACGTTTAAAGTTCCGCCCATACTGAATTTTTTTCTCGAAACTGTGCAGGATTTCGGGGGTATGCCTATTTGCCAAAAATGATTGTAATTGATCCTCGCAAACGAAAATAATTTTTCCAGAACGATTTGAAATATTTTTTTTCGTCGAAAAATTTCAGCACCTACCCGATTTTTTTTCTCGAAAGTGGATAGGATTTCGGAAGTATGTGTATTCACCAAAAATTATTGTAATTGACCCCCGCAACCGAAAATAATTTTTCCAGAACGATTTGAAATTTTTGAATTTAATTGTTAATAACTTTTTAACGAAGACTTCATCAACAAATTGGTATTCTTGATTTTCCACTTATTTTGGCTTCTAGAATACCCCATTAAAATTTTTCCCAGGGGTGGCCGAACACCCTATATGTACGTTCTGGTGATAATAACTAGGAAAATTGTGCATATATATATATACCAATAATGTAAATGGTTCGAGTAGTTATTGTGAAAAATTAATTTAACTTATTAATTTACTTCTGTTTTAAATTAAACATTTTATTCATATGTTACATTACTGAATTCTACATCATTTACATCATAATCTTTCATTTTACTTTCTAAAACCCACCATTTGTCTAAACATCCCACATCTACCACCCTTTGATGAAATGTTAAATATCGAGGTTTCAAATAAGGGCAAATAGCTTTATACAAGGTACATGCTTTATCATAGTCATCTAACCAAATAATAGTAATTAAACCCAAATTTAGCTGTCGTACAATACCTTCGCTGTAGCATTGTCCTAACCACTTTACATGATGTTCAGATGTGGGATTGCGTACAGATTCTCCTACTAGCATTATTTTCATAGTATTTTGTAATAAATGTTCTCTGAAGGAACATTCATCTGGTTTATATTTGTTCATATATACACATAGTGCTGTAACTAATGGAACAAGTTATTAATTTTTAATATATAGGAGATTTTCTGTAGTTTTTTCACCAAACTGCAAAAAATTAATCTAGAAATTAAAAAATGCATAAAAACCATGTAACATACTAAAAGCATATGTAGAGGCTCGTATCGGACGCTCTTTACAATCCTGAGCAACACCTTCTCCTACACTTTTGTAATCTATATAAACATTCTTCCAGTATTTCCCTGTAAACAGAAATGTATTAAATCAAATAACATATTTGATTCACATTATTTTTACTTTACACCACACTTAAAAATTATTCACCCCATCGTTCGAGAAATGTTCCTTTTAATTTTTCTGGAGTTTCAAAATTCTTTACTTTCATAAAAACATTACTGACGTAATTTGTTAATTTTGAAGAGAATTTATATTTTAGAAGCCGATTAAACTGTCCGTAATTCATGTTGATCGGAAACTATATTAGTAATCTTCGATGATTATAAATGTAATTCAAAATATGCATTTTTAATTCAAAAGTAAAACGTGTTCACGTTACAGCCAGATTTCTTTATGCTGGATAAGGCATTGACCGAGTTGTGTTAATGTAGACGCCGCCATATTTGAGAAAACACTGCATGCGCCACTTGTATAGCGCCATTAGCTAATTTAGCACCCTTTTTTCTTTATTTGAGGCGTCATTGTGAGGTTCAAGCACACGTAACATAGGCCCCCTGGTAGCAACAGCTGATAATGATTAACGGAATATAGTTGACCGGTACAATTATTTAGATCACAAACCATTCATTGTTGACGTGCAGTTATGGCTCGAGCGATATTTAATACATCGAATAGTCGTAAGTTCGTTGATAACACTATCAGTACTCAATAGAAGTTGACATATTCTCATATTGTATTGTTATACTATTGTCAAAATTCTCGGTGTGATAATATATTAATTCGATATATCTGATTGTAGGTCAACCAAACGTGATATAAATAAAGACGACAAACTTTTTTTTCAAAATGATCGATCATATCCATGCAATATTGTACATTCGCTTATCAAATTTGTATCATTAAATGATTGAAAGTATTTTATAAGGCATTCTTTGAAACGATATATCTTTATAACTTTTATAAATTCAGATTTCATAAATACAATTTTATAATAAATTAACGATGTAAAAGATGTATGTCATATTATCGCATAATAGACGTAAGATAGGTGAACTTTGCTCTTATGATACGTATAAACATTTTATTCTTGAAAAATATAATTCCGTTTGAGGGTAAATCATTCACTTATAAGATGTTTTAATATATTTTTAAACGATATATTTATGTCTGTTTTTTTACTGATACAAAATGATCTAAATAAAATACGAAATATTCGTACAGTAAAGAAATGATAAAACATGGGAAAAACATAATAAACACATTATGAGGTTCAGATATAGGTTTACTTTCTTATACAGTTGTAAATAATCATACAATGGATAGAGACATAGCAGAATAAACCTATCTTGTGTTTCTTATGGTTTTTAGGTTATTCTATGTAACTACCTTCAATTCTTAAATGGTATCGTATATTTTCAATCCCAAAATATGCTATCAAAAAATAAAAAACAACGATTTGAAAATATCGAACTTTTTTTGTCTTATAATATTGAATCAGTCTCATGAATCTTTAACCACATTTATATCTTTTGGCAGTACAGAGGTGGCAATTGATTTTTCGAAGAGCCTATTCTCAAGAAAAATTTCCAAAAATTACAACACACTACACGGTTGTACCCAGAGAAACAGATCCAAGATGGAAAGGTAATTTATTCCATAAATATTCTAACCCTTTCTATACTAACTGTAACCTTGTCCAGATGATCTTGATTTCCAAAATTTAGGTTCAGTTAACATCTAATATAACTTGTATAAGAAACCAACAGTATATCAGATATAATTAAAACAGTTACAAAATTAAATATAAAAGTGTCCATCGATGTCATTTGTATAAAGCATTGAATATGTTTCATAGATGTGAACATGGAAAGATATGCGGACGAGTGCGATATACTAATTGTTGGTGGTGGTCCAGCTGGACTGTCCGCAGCTATTCAGGCACGTAAACTAGCAGAGATGCATGGAAAAGAACTTAGAGTTACAGTCGTTGAAAAAGCTGCCACTATCGGTGGTCATATTCTTAGTGGAGCTTGCGTGGATCCGATTGCTTTGAACGAACTACTACCAAATTGGAAAGAATTGGATGCACCCTTGAAGACTCCTGTCACCGAAGATAAATTCGCGTTTCTCACTGAAAAAGGCAGGATATCGATACCAATTTTGAAAGGAATGCCAATGTACAATCATGGAAACTACGTAGTCAGGTAAGAAACTGAGATAGTACAGTTAGTTATATAAACAAGTATCTAAGAATATCCTTTGTCTAGTTATTATTTTGCGCAGATTGGGCCATGTTGTGAACTGGCTCGGACAACAAGCAGAAGCTGCAGGAGTGGAGTTGTATCCTGGCTATGCTGCGGCAGAAATACTATATCATGAAGATGGATCTGTTAAAGGAATAGCCACGAATGATGTTGGCATTGCGAAAGACGGCTCTCCAAAGGATACCTTCGAACGAGGAATGGAACTGCATGCCAAATGTACAATTTTTGCAGAGGGTTGTCATGGTCATCTTACAAAACAAATTTCGAAGAAACTGGACCTTAGAAAAGACTGTGAGCCTCAGACTTATGGTATAGGATTAAAGGAGGTAAGTTCGATATTTTGTCAACCCTTTCGCTTCGGCATGCTTGTAATAAAATACGATCTTTGCGAACGGAACATACGATGACATATCAATACAGTAGACCACGGTTGAATTTCTACGATCGATCCCCACTCTTCTCCCATCACTCAATGAAACCTGACCAAGTAGAGCAGGTAAGGAAATATTTTACCATCCGCAATTTTCATTTTATCTATTAGTAAATGATACCAACAACGCATTGCTGGGATTCTCGCGATTAAAATGTATCCAAACACCACATAATTTACGTTACTTTTAACTAACTTAACAAATGTAACATAAATATAAAATTGTGTATACGTTCTTTGTACGTGATGCAATTTTTGGGCACGTTTATACGTTTCTTGAAGCGAAAGGGGTAATACAAATTTGAAGAATGTATAGTAGAAATGTTTCCGCTTAGATCTGGGAAATTGATCCAAAGAAACACAGGCCTGGTACTGTTGAACATACAGTAGGTTGGCCACTGTCAAAAAATATCTACGGCGGCTCCTTTTTATATCATCTTAACGAAGATACACCCCTTGTTGCCATAGGTTTTGTTATCGGGTTAGATTACTCTAATCCTTACGTACATCCGTTTAAAGAATTTCAAAGATTTAAACAACATCCAAGCATTAGACCTGTCCTGGAAGGAGGAAAAAGGTAAATCAATGCACTTAAGCAAATTCCTCTTTTTATCTTTTACTTTAGAATCTCTGATTGTTACTTTAGAATAGCATATGGAGCAAGAGCTTTGGTAGAAGGCGGTTTTCAATCTATTCCTAAACTTCAATTCCCTGGGGGTTGTCTGGTGGGTTGTACGGCAGGATTTTTAAATGTTCCTAAAGTTAAAGGAACGCATAACGCTATGAAAAGCGGTATGCTTGCAGCAGAAAGTGCCGTTGAGGCCGTAATTGACTCGGAAAATAATCCATCGCCTACTAAAGGCATAGAACCAAAAACTTATACCGACAAAATAAAAAACAGTTGGATTTATAAGGAATTGAAAGCTGTTAGAAACATAAGGCCCAGCTTCCATACGAGTCTCGGTCTTTACGGGGGTTTGATATATTCTGGATTTTCGATGTTAATCGGAGGTCGAGAGCCATGGACTTTATCTCATGGCGGTAAGATATTCGAATAAAAGTAAATGGAAACACGAAGTTTCATTTCTCATTCTAAATTATACTGTTCACAGGCCCGGATTACAAAAAACTGAAACTGGCATCCGAGTGTACACCGATCGAATATCCTAAACCAGATAATGAAGTGTCTTTTGATTTGTTATCATCAGTGGCTCTTACAGGTACAAATCACGAAGGCGATCAGCCTCCTCACCTCACATTGGCCGACGACACCGTCCCGGTAAGAAAAAATTTAGAGGCGTTTGCTGGTCCAGAAGGTCGATTTTGCCCTGCTGGTAAGTAATAAATTTGTCATTATGTTTATTTTTGTCGAATTTATGTACACATATTTTAAAAAGTATTACAAACCTAATATATTAGTGATTCTTTTCTCGGTTACCGTTATTCATTTACAATGTAGATTAAGAAAATGCTTTTATCGGTAATAACAAGTAATTTGCATATTATTTACTCTTACTATTATTACAAAAGCATAATTTGAAGCCATTCGGTCAACTAGAATTTGAGATATAATGCACACCAGTTAAAAAAATATGCTTAAAGAGACGTGTACTTTTAAGAAACTCGAAAAAGAAATTGATTTTCCAAACTTCTGGACCAAAATACCCTCTTAAGATGATCAAAAGTGCCGCCAAGCTAAATTCAACGATAGTTTATAAAAAGAAACCATTTTATGCCAAGTTTCAATTCTATATCTCGATTTTGGGGCGAGGTGAACGGATTAAAGGGCAACGTTTCTGGCAAATTTTGAAAAAAGTCAAATGCATCTTTTCAGAGTTTTCTTTCGAAGATCCATGTTGTAAAAGATAAGAAAATTCGTAAAAACGGTAATTTTGCATCGAAGCAAGTATCCCTTGCTCCTCAACATTTCCATTAGAACCGCCAGTTCTACTTTATCTCCCTACTACCGTCTCTCGCTTCTATCTCTTCTGCCTTTTCTTCCTAGAATCTCGTCTGGGTTTATCGACCGATGTGTCCTTGAACTTGAGCTATCCGGATACCCCTCATGGCTAGACTACCCTCGACCAAGCACAGCTCACGAATTCGGAGTGCACGTATCTGTGGCCAACAACCTTGCCGCGGAATGTACCCTTCCCTATTCGTCTCTAAAAAGCTCGCGAATTAAACTATTTTTGGTCGAGAAGATCAAAAAGCTTCTTGGTCGACGTCCCGTGGAAACGATGGAACGTAGTAATTGATAGAAGAATAAATTTACCGCTTCGTTATGTACTCGGCAGTGTTCTTAACGCGAAAATATAGTAATACGCGTTAGCATTTTCAAGGGGGCAGACATTTGTATGTCTGTCGCGGTGCTATCCTCTCTCTCGCCACCCTTGATATTTTTCTGCACTCCATCTTCTTTCTATTTTCCTCGCGGAACGGCTTCATCCTTTTCGGAGACTCGTCGTCGGGGAAACAGGGTGGAGCTTGACGGGGGAGCTGTTTCCCTACAGGACAATTCGAATGCCTGGAAAATGGTGGGGAGCAGGTTATCGACTGTCTGGCGGAGGGCACAATTTGACCTTTGAAACGAAACTCTGAAAGTCTTCAAAAGAATAATACTTAACATTCGTTGGACGCTTGAAACTCCTATACGGTGGCGGGCAACATTTTCAGACGATTATGCTTTTGATAGGGGCGGTAATAACACGTTAAATTTTTCAAAATATATTTAATAGCAAGGCAAACTTCAGTAGATAGTAACGTTATATGTAGATTATTAAATAACGATTCTAGTCGAAATGATACCTACGCCCAAATTTTTACACCTAATGTTCTTAATTTAAATAATGAAGATTTTCGCTACGAACAAAATGTGTTCGCGATAGCAAAGTGGGAGGCGTGTTTCAGTTAACTGTTATTTATTTCAGGTGTATATGAGTTTGTACCACTAGAGTCCGGGGAGGGAGAGAGACTGCAAATTAATGCACAGAATTGCATTCATTGTAAAACGTGTGATATCAAAGATCCGAGTCAAAACATCAACTGGGTTGTGCCAGAAGGCGGTGGTGGTCCCGCGTATAATGGAATGTAAATTCCAATTAGAAATTGGAACAATTGTTGGTCTTCGTAATGTTATATTTGCAAATTATATTTTTTTACGATAATGAAAAATGTTTATATGTGTCTTCGAAGATATAATAATTTAAAACTATTTTTTTAATATCAATTTTACTGTATAAATGAAATATACATTCAAATCTGTGCTAACGATCAAAGCAGTCAATGCTGCCAAATAGATGGAATATTTAATATTTTAATATACATCGAGAAAGGCACGAGCAATGTGTCAGCTTATGAATTGAATTTAAAAGAATGGATAATTTTATCTAACAAGAAAATATATAATGCGTTTACGTTGATAAAAACGCATTTTTTATACATACCAAAAGTATGAGAAATATACTTTACATTGTAATAAAAATATTTTATCAACCCTTAAAGAAATTCTGTATAAAAGACATAAATGTAAAGGATAATAGATCATTTTTGATAATGAAGTGCCTATTTTTAAAGGGAATATTAACATTATTCAAATGGGTTAGATAATTAGCACTGCTCACTGCCATTAATTTACCTTATACGTACGTATACTTTCAATTTGATTGCATACTAGTAAAATTCAACAGATTTATCATCTGTTAGAATAACGATTATTGTGTTATACATATTTAAAGTGAATTGAAAAATAAATGATCTTGTAAGAAAAAGAATACTTTTTAAAGGGAACGTATGTTTTCCATAATTTTAGATACAATTTTATATATATTCTTCCGTTGATCTTCCTACAATTTATCTATTAAAATTTTTGTATGAATTATATTTTTCCAAATTCATACAAAATATTGTATAATCTGAAATTAAATATGAAATTAAACACAAGAATAAACATATCTAAAAAATGTAATAATGTCTGACAAAATATATACGAAATAAATGATCGCAGGTGTTATTTCTTTTCATTCTAATTATTTTTATAAGGATGATGTAATGCATTTTCCTCGTACTACATTCTATCAATAAATGATATATATGATACAATATATTTTAAATAACTCTTGCGGAATTACATTTTTCGTAACATTAGTTTGCACTTATAATGTAGTACGGATAAGAATCTCCATTTTCCAATTCATCATTCTGACACGAATGTACACATAGTTTGAATTTAGATTAAACTTATGTTCACAATTTTCTTCAAATCCTAATATACTGCCAGTAGTATCGAGGCATACGAACCAGAAGCTTTTACCATCTAAAAGTTGAAATATATTTCAAATATAATGTTTATAAAATTGCATTATATATAAAGATTTACCTTTAAAGCAAATAGATTAATATTTTTTCAACGAATACATATATATGTATATTATACGATTTGGACAACGTTAATCCAAGCTAGGAAGAATTCAAAGAAGTCGGTAAAGAACTAATTATATTATTGCATGCCACACTGAATGATAAGGCAGTCATTGTTTGAAACGTTTTTCATAGAAGAAACGCTTCAATTTATTTATCTTATGTGCAACGATATTATCTTAATATATCATTATTATTGTTATTACATTAGTAAACGTTTCCAAAGAGAGTTCAACGAACTTTCCAGCTGTAAGTGTCAGCTTCTTTTGCGCTCGTAACAGCAACAACAATATAATTCGACTCTCTCGAGTGTTTAACTTGTACCAAAGCATATTGTACACAGTTTGGCTAATATTCTGACTCTAAAAAATAACTTAACGTTAGAGGCGGATTTATTATCCGTAAACGAATAAGCATCGTCTTTTCTTAGTTTAATCTTTTACCTTCGAAGAAAGATATTCACCGGTATAACAAAGAACGAACGCTTCGCAATTTACAGTTACGTAATAGGGAAATAATTTCGCAATTATCGTGGGTCCTCCTTCGGTGCCTATATACTAAAATATTCAAAGTAACAGTAAATGTTTACGTGCACAATGTATATAAACATAAATCAAATTGACTTACGTGTACGAGAATAAATCCTAAAAAACACATGACTAGAATATTTGCAAAAAATTGCACCAACGACACATAGGTAAACACGACTTTAATATTTTCGGATAAATAAATAATCCGTTGATGTTTGGTAATGAGGTTTTTTATCGCGCGTGGTCTTTCTTCCGCGTAGTAGTTAGAAAACTCCATTATCTCCTCGCATATTATATCAATTTGACTACCAACGTGTAGCACCTAACAAATGGTTTAAAAATTATTTCGAACTGTTTAATTTTGATTTTTTGAAAGTTGAAATATTCTATTTTATATTCTAGTTTAAATAGAAACTCACTAGTGCTGCGAACAACGCTATTAACATTGATGTAATGACAGCTATACTGTATTCAAGCGTAAACTGTGCGATTAGGATAATTTCATAAATCGGAAAGCCCGTGGTGTCGAAGGGAAATCTCATTTTGAACAATAATTTCTTCTCGTTCGAAGTTAATTCTTCGTCAGTGTCGTCGACAAATAACAGGTTGGATGCTGCATATAAAATGCAAGTCATCGAATAAATGCCTAAAAAAAATTTTGAAATGCGAGAGGCCAAAAGAGCTTTGTCCTCCATTACATGTTTATTCCGTTCGGTTAGAGTAATATCATTCCAATCTTCGAACACGATCGTTAAGATGTCGGAAAATAATCTGTAGAGAGCAATTTTATAATCATTAACAGTCGATAGGATTATCATTCGAATTAATAATTTTGAAACTATTGTACTTTTGATCGTCCTATGTCTAAATATTCGTTATAGTAATTTTAGGGTTTTTAAGAAAATTCGAGATATATTAAATATTCTCTCGTTGAAAAAATACAGGGTGTTCGGCCACAAAAATTTTAATAGGAGATTCTAGAGGCCAAAATAAGACGAAAATCAAGAATACCAATTTGTTGATGGAGGCTTCGCTAAAAAGTTATTAACGTTTAAAGTTCCGTCTGTACTGAATTTTTTTCTCGAAAATGCGCAAGATTTCGGGGGTATATCTATTCACCAAAAATGATTGTAATTGAACCCCGCGACCGAAAATAATTTTTCCAAAACGATTTGAAATTTTTTATTTCCGTCGAAAAACTTCACACCTTCTCGAATTTTTTTCTAGAAAGTGGGTAGGATTTCGGGGCATGTCTATTCACAAAAATTGATTGTAATTGAACCCCGCGACCGAAAATAATTTTTCCAAAACGATTTGAAATTTTTTATTTCCGTCGAAAAACTTCACACCTTCTCGAATTTTTTTCTAGAAAGTGGGTAGGATTTCGAGGCATGTCTATTCACCAAAAATGATTATAATTGACCCCTGCAACCGAAAATAATTTTTCCAGAACGATTTGAAATTTTTGAATTTAATTGTTAATAACTTTTTAACGAAGCCTCTATCAACAAATTGGTATTCTTGATTTTCGTCTTATTTTGGACTGTAGAATCCCCTATTAAAATTTTTCCCAGGGGTGGTCGAACACCCTGTATAGTGACGTATCCATGTAACGTTTTACTAAGGATGGAAAGTGGTGTTTTATCAAAATGTTTCTGTATTCGATCAAAATCAGAATTCTATTTTTGGTTCGTAATATAATTTTGATACGGTTGTGTCGCTTACTCTGAAACGTGAAAATTATTGCAACATGCGGCTTACCGGTAATTGAACCAAATAATGATCATCTTAATGAATGTAATGAGATCCGATAAGATCACGCTCAAATTATCCAACAGGTCGGGCAAGCTTTCTGTTTGGCTATAAGAAGCACAGTACCAAAATTGGGATGTCAAGGAGATTCCTAATGCGATCGTCCAAAGAACGCGTTTCAAAATTATTTGAGAAGATTTCGGCCAAGCACCAATCAAAAGTAGACCAAATTTCACAGGATAGCTAATTATAGTTATCGGCGCCATTGAATTTTATATTTTTCTATTCAATCCTTCACGCCTGTAAACTATCGATAAAAGAACTTGGTTTTTTTTTTTTTTTTAAATCACTGATACGAGTTAATAAATCTGAACGCGAACTCGACTAACGAGCACTTTGCAAATCGAAAACAAATCTACGAAGAGTCTGCAGTATACTGAAAAATGTTTCATTTCGAACAGTGGTCGAAGTTTCGAAGTACTTTCGTAAACCACAACTTCTGCTCAACGTTCATCGATCAAGGTCAATTATCTACTATATACTATTATCTGGCATTACGTACAAACAACAGGAAGCAAGTCGTAATTTATGTAAGATCGATGATTATCTATCTATTCTTCTATTACTTTCTTTGTGGAAACGACCAGGCATTATTTGATTGTAAAATTTTTCGTCTACGAAATGCGAGCACAGTAAAATGGCGATTATCGGAGAAGGCAGACACAAAGCATTCTCGATAAACGGATTTTCATATAATCCGATACTTTGTGTAGCTGCTGTATACGTTCGAAGAAAATACTCTTTCTTTTAAAAGCAGGCATGAAGGATTCACGTCGTTCTGTTTGATAATTAATTATTTTTTCGATAACAGACTTTTCTAAGATCAACATTGTGGTTAAAATATATGTCGAGTGAGTACGTCTCGTTCATATGTGTTCGTAATAAATTTAGAAATTGTAATTTCTGTATAGAGTGATTTTCCTAAAATAGAACGTCTAAATAAATTTTAAGGGCAGCACGATCTTTCACATTAATAACAAACGTTTCTTGAAATTGTTAAAAAGAAATTATCGTTAATAATCTTCTGAGAACAGTGAAATAATTATTTCCCTAATTGGTGAATTGGTGCTACAGATGGCAATATTTATTTTCAGGAACAAAACACGCATACTTTATAAAATAAACCTCTTCGTAATAATTTGGGACACGTATAGTCATTTGTTTTTACATTATGAAATTCCAGGTATTTTCCAGTAATTTTTGTACAACTAGAGAGGGGATGATTTTACATGAAAAAGTAAGTAGAAAATTTAGAATAAAATATTACCGTGCAATGCTTCATTTTCGAGATAATTGAATTTGACAATTTGTTTGGAGCAACTGAAATTCAATACGATATGTCAGACGCGCCTGGCCATATATTCACTATTACTACTTGCGACGATCAGTGATGGGTGTGATAGCTTTTTTCATGATTTTCAAGCACTTTGACGTTCAAATACTTATTTGACGACTCATGTTGTATCGAAACATTAAGGACTTTTTCACCTCATGAATTTTCAAAGTCAATTTTCTTGAAAACAGAATCTCTTGTATACATTTTTTACTTCATTTATTTTTTTTATGTAGAATCGTCAGCAAATCATGTAATTTTTAATATGACGAAAAAGCAGTAGTTTAGCAGATATTTTAATTTTAATATTGTGAGGGTATTAACAAGTATGGTATTATTAAAATATCTTCGAAACTGTTGACGATGCTAAAAAATGTTTCGGACAAAAGTTGGATGGTTTCAGGGAATATATAATCTAATGAATGTTACCTTTTCGTCAATGAACGCGTATAGGGCACATGGAGGTCAACTTTATTTTCTTAAATGGAATTATATATTTTTTAATACATTATTTGGTGAAATTCGTCATTCCCCACACAAAAGTAATAAACCACTTATGACGAAAAAGCAGTAGTTTAGCAGATATTTTAATTTTAATATTGTGGGAGGGTATTAACAAGTATGATATTATTAAAATATCTTCGAAACTGTTGACGATGCTAAAAAATGTTTCGGACAAAAGTTGGATGGTTTCAGGGAGTATATAATCTAATGAATGTTACCTTTTCGTCAATGAACGCGTAGAGGGCACATGAAGGTCAACTTTATTTTCTTAAATGGAATTATATATTTTTGAATACATTAATTGGTGCAAATCGTCATTCCCTACACGAAAGTACTAAGTCACTTATAGCGAAAAAGCAATAGTTTAAAAGATATTTTAATTTTTATATTGTAGAGGGTGGCATTACAAAGTGTGGCAGTAAAATTAAATTATCTTCCAAACTATTGTTTTTTCGCTATAAGTGGTTTAGTACTTTTGTGTAGAGAATGACGAATTACACCAATTCATATATTAAAAAATATATATTCCCATTTAATAAAACAAAGTTGACTTTCATATGTCCTCTACGCGTCCATTTAAGAAAAGCTTACTTACATTAGCTTATGTATTCTCTAAGACCATACAATTTTTGTTCGAAATATTTTTTAGTATCGTCAACAGTTTCAAAGATATTTTAATTGTGATATTTTAATATCATACTATGTGTAAAAATACATTAATAATACCATTTGATAGTCGGTGTTGGGTTTTGCTAACTACTGTACATATTTTACTAAATATTAATAACTTTATTTGGATAAATTACACGAACATAACAGTCTCGTTCGAATAATCATATGGATAACTATTTATTCGAAATATTTAGCTCTGTTTCGAATTTGTTTTGGTTATACATTTGGTGAAGCATCACTGATTTTCTATCCAAGAAGATACCAGGAAACAGTAATAATAATAAACGTAACATTCTTAATGCAAATAGTCCATAATTTCGCTGGCATTGTAGCGACAAACGAGAAAGGTTGCTTCTCTTTTTTGCCATTGGAATTATTGATGATATGCTGGTTTCTCTTTTATGTTTTTGCTCGGGTTTATTTATGTAATAATAGACTGGCAATTCCGTTTGATCGATAAGTAGTTTTAGAAAAGTTCAGTATGTAGGAGACATTCGACTGTGCAACTTGCAGCTGCAATATTCAGAAAGACCTGTTCAGCACGCAATATGGTTGTTTTTATAGATAATTTAGTCTCAATGTGACAACTCAGGTTGAATCTTCGTATCTTCTTTGCTTTCAATATTTGTGATCCAAATAATACTTCAATTTTCGATTAAATCTGTAAACAGTATCTTTAAAAAAAGTAATAATACTCCTACGTGTAACAATATTTAATTTTGCAAGAGAAGTATTGACACAAATGGCGTTAAAAAGTATAATAAATCGTCCACTCGAACTCAGCCTTCATCTGTTCGGTATCTGGCCGAATTCTTCGTGCCCGATTTTAAAAGAAGTAATTTGGACAACAATGATGTTAATATCTTTAGTGTTTCAATATTGGTATTGCGTTACTCACGTTAAATCGAGTGACTTGATCGACATACTAGACGGATTGAGTCTTACTTTCTCGAACACGCTCGTATTTTTAAAGCTGACTGTTATTTGGTTTCACAAACAGTAAGATTTCTATTATAATTGTTTTTCGTTTCTAAAGAAATGCGACAATTAGTGCAATGAACAAGTAAAATTGAAAGTCTCGAAATCCTTTATGTTTAATAGTAAGTATTTTATTAAACGTGAATCGTTAGGAAATTTATTTTGTACAGAACGTTTTGTGACATTCTGGAGATTATGTTTGAAGACTGGAGTCGTAATTATGCCTCTAACGGTGAAAATAGACAGATTATGATAAATACGGCCATTTTATCTTCTCGTATTTCGAATTTCTTAATTGGCTACTTTGCGGTGACTTTCCTTCTATATACAGGAATTGCTTTAGCACCATTCGGCGAGGACAAAGATGAATTGACGACCGAAACGAGGAAATTATTTGTCAAAATGGAATTTCCTTTTGATGCCACAGTTTCTCCGCTTTATACAATTATTTTAATCGTACAGTTCTCGTTCCAAGCAGTTCTAGTTCTCGCAGCGGTAATGTCAATAGCATTGATTGCGACATTAGTAAGTCTTTAAATTATGTTTTTGAAAGATTAGGTTCACGAAGAATTATTTAAGATCATGTTTATCATTTTTTAAATCCAGGCTAGAGTGTGACTGATTCAGGGAATATTCAAAACAGACAATTGTTCCTATTATTATTAAAATAAAGGTTGACAAATTATTCGAACAAGTCTTGTTACTTAATAAATATCACGATTATTCGATACTTTTTTATTTGCCCTGAAACAATTCTCTGTTAAAAATATCTTTAAAAGTGGCAAGTTTCTTTTAAATAGACTTTCTATTTGTAAAATCTCTATCGTGTAATTGTTTTAAAAAATGTCACCCTGTTGGATGTTACATCGATCGTTTTAGATATTGCATATTGGCAGTCAAATAGAAATATTTTGCAAAAGATTGACGAGAGCTTCTGGCTGCCCTGGAAAAGAAGAATCACGAAACGTAATAATAAAAGATGTGATTTGTGAACATCAAAGAATCATAAGGTTGTCCGAAAATATTGAAAAAATGTTTAGATACATATCGTTGGGGCAATTTCTATCAAATATGGTGGTAATTGGAGTCATAAGCTTCGTTCTTGCAGTTGTGAGTAAATTGAATTTACATGTTTTGTCGATTCATTTATTTTTAAACACGCTTTGATCGTATGTTCTTTATTAATACTCGCGAAGTCTTCGAAAATGGAACAAGGACCTATAATAATAGCCAAATGCTTTCCCTATTATATTGCTGTAAATTGTGAAGCATTTATTCTTTGTTACACGGGTGAATATCTTTCTTCAAAGGTATGGCCTCGAAATAAACAATAAAACAATATCAAGGATATTGTTTCTTTCGATATTATTAATATGACGTTCATTTTTAGGGTGAAAATATTACCGAAGTCATATATAATTTTCTTTGGTACGAATTAAAGCCCAGAGAATCTCGTATTATATTGTTAACAATATTGCGATCACAAAAACAATTAAAACTCACAGCTGGAAAATTTCTGACCCTTTCGTTGGAGGCCTTTGCTAATGTAAGGAACTACAATACTACATTAAACTTACAAATTAATTTTGTAACACATTATACAAGTTTCAACATACATTGTGTAAAATAAGTTCCCGGAATTTCTCACTTTCAAATCCCACAGTGCATGTATTGAAACAAATTTTTGTGTGTAAGTAGGCAACATTGTATTCAGTTGTTACGTTAAATTTGATCGCAATATGACAACCAGTGTGTTCACGGCAGTTATTTACACCAGTCGATCTCGAGTGTGCTCTGCGATTTTTGCGATGGAAGGAACTGTCGAGCAAAGAATTTGCTTTAAATTTTGCGTTTTTAACGAAATTTCTTGTACCGAAGCGTTAAAAATGTTACAGAAAACCTATGATAAGTGGTGCCTATCAAAAACGCAAACATACGAATGGTACAAGGCATTTAAAGAGGGCCGAGAAGAAGTGCAAGATTTGCCGCGTGCCGGCCGACCGTCAATGGTTTCGACCGACGAAAATATCGAAAAGATAAAAAAAAATTGTCTCACATGTCCGTGCATAACATTTTAACTGAAGTTTTGGGCATGAGACGCGTCGCCGCACGACTTGTTCCGAAGGAGCTGAATTTTCTGCAAAAAGAACATCGAAAAGCAGTTGCTGAAGACATGATTTCACGAGCTTCTAGTGACATTACCTTCATGAAACGATGTGCAAACAAGTCAACAATCTTCGGAATATCGCTTAGAAAATGAACCAAACCCTATAAAACCGCGTCAAGGTTGCTCGAAAATTCAGGTCATGCTCACTGTTTTCTTTGATTATCGTGATGTTGTTCATTCGGAATTCCTTCCAGTTGGACAAACTGTAAATAAAGAATATTATTTGAGCGTAATGAGACGCTTGCGTGAAAATATTCGTCGGAAACGGCATGATGCGTGGAAAAACAATTCTTGGATCCTGCACCACGATAACGCTCCGTCGCACACGTCGATCTTGATACGCGATTTTTTGACCAAGAACCCAACAAATGTGATCGAACAAGCACCGTATTCACCAGATATGGCCCCCTGTGACTTTTTCTTATTTTCGAAACTCAAATTACTTCTTTAGCGTTTAAAAAAGTGTTTTGAAAACTGGGAGAAGCGTTGGCGTATGTGCATTGTTTCTGATGGGGTCTACTTTGAAGGCGACAAAATAAATTTGGATGATTAAGTAAGCAATTTGAGTTTTATTTACAAATTCCGGGTACTTATTTTACATAATGTATTTCTTTATTTAATGTATACTGTGAAATATTAATATTTTTCTTCTTCTAAAAAGTTACTGCACTTATAGATTTATTATAATACAATTTCTACCGTTTTATTATTTATTTAGAAGTTAGATCAGAGTACTGTGTGGAACTATTTTATACATATAATTGTAATGAATTTAAATTTTTAGATGTTGAAAGCTTCTGCTTCGTATGTGTCGGTTATGCTTGCAGTATACTGATACTTGAGGAAATTACGAAGAGTTGAATAGAAGTAATCGAAACGCAAGAAGTGTTTTGTTAAAATGAAAGATATTAATGGAATACAGTGAAACGTAATAATTTGTAAAAACGTTACAAATACATCTAACGAAGTATAATATAATAAATCAGACAATTTTCTTTTATTACTTATGCAAGATGGAGTGCTCAAATTGTTACGAATTGTTCTAGGGAACCATTTGTGGCACTGACAAAATATTTATTGTTACTATGAGTCGATGGACACTTATATGTATAAATATATAATATAAGGTATATAAAATTTTGCAATTTTAGACAGTGTTTTTTAAACTAAAAATCATCGGAAAATATCGATTATCCATAACGTGGAAGTAGAAAATGTTAAATACCAGATTAAAAGTCGACAATCATTCTGATAAATCTTCAATTTAAGGAAAATTCAAATCAAACACTTGCTTTAAACGAATCTGTGAATATTTTACTTCCTTGTTAATGAAAAGAAAGTTCGTAACAAAGATTTCCAAATATACTAAACGCGTACGTACCTCGTGCTCGAAGCACAAACATACACTTCTTATTTTGCAGTATGTTCGTTTCCCTTCTAATTCTCAAATTTCTCTTTTTTTTTTCTATAAATTATTTCTTTCTCCTAACATATGATAGCGAAACAGTTCCCGTCGCCACTTTTTTGTGCCCGCTTATTATTCCGCGTCCTTATAGGAAATCACTCCGAAAGCGCGGATATAAAATTCCGCAAGTTTGAACGCGGATAGCAAAAACTCCTAAACTTCTGCTTTTCTTTTAATCAATATATTTATGTATTTCACTTCCAACTTTGGTTTTCGTATCTTCTTCACACGATGTGAATATTTTATGGAAATGTAGTCGATGCGTACGAAGTTGCGCCAGACTTTTCTGCAGCCATCTTTAGTATTCTAAGTTCAGTCGTTCGCGTACGATAAGCTTAAGGCACGATATTCACGGCGATAATATTATAATAACAAATAAAACTGTTCGATTAAATCTGTACGTTTGAAAACAAATGGGATGTTAATTTTATCCGGTATGAGCTCGATCAACGTCGTTAGTCGTCCACTAGAGATCGGCCTTCGATTGACTGGAATCTGGCCATCGTTGTACGAAAATATATTTCGATTCGTTTGGATCGTAACGATGGTCGCAGGACAAATATTCCAATATTGGTACATAACGAAGCATCTCAACTTTGAAAATCTGGAAAATCTAGCGGATGGCGTGAGCACTGTTTTCCCTTATACTTTGTTCTTTTTCAAGCTAATCACTTTCTGGAATAAACGTGGGTAAGCTACTCTGTGCATATTTAAAAAAAAGGAATTACAGGTACATGCATTATCCGACCCAAAATAATTCGCACAATGATAGAAGGCTGTCTTGAATCTTCTGATAGCTACTCACAGATTTGTTACATTTGCAATAACGTTTTACAGAATACTCACTAGTATTTTAACTTCGATGGTTTCGGATTGGACTGATCCTTCCAACGCTAAACTTAATACAGACGTCATGATAAGTAATGCTGATCTGACGAACCGTTGCTCGTACGTAATTATAGGCCTATACGTTCTTGCAGTTATTTTGTACAGCAGCGTGGGTCTCGAACTTTTTAACGAAAGCGAAAACGACGAGATCGACTCGATACACCGAGAATTGTTGATAAAAATGGAATTTCCATTCGCGATTTATAAATCACCGATATACGAATGCGTACTGTTTGCACAGTTTATACAACTACTGTGTACTGCTTCTGGCATTGCTATGTTGGATGCTTTAATAATTACGATGGTAAGTTAACAAATGTGGAATTTTAGATTTTTTTGAGAACTCTGCAATTTACAAGTATCCTTCTTTCGTTCAAAATTAATCGGTACGAATTTGTGTGGAAAATACCACTCAAAACTCTTTGGTTTTGTAAAGAAGTCAAATCTACAGTTAAATCTAAAATGCATTTAGATATTACACGTTGGAGGGCAAATAGAAATGATGCATCAGATGCTGGAAAAGATTTCTGCCAAAGAAGCAAAACATGGATTGCCTAGAAGCACCATAAAACAGTTGTACAATCGACATCAGAACATTATTATCTTCACCGAGAACATTGAAAATCTTTTCTCGTACATTGCTTTGATGCAATTATTGTGCAATACGCTCAGTATTTGTTGCATAGGCTTCTTATTGGTAGTTGTAAGTAAGATTCCAAGGCTTACGTAAATAAATTACTTTAATCTGGCTTACTAAAGACCCTATAATTCAATTAATCCGCGCAATTAAGAATTTGATTATCTTTCTCATCTGATATTCCCACTGCAGACATTTAATACGGACCGAAACGCTAAATCGATTATAAGAATATTGTTCTTTTACATCGTCATAACGTTGGAAGCGTTTATTTTTTGCTTTGCCGGAGAATACCTTAGTAACAAGGTTCGCACATGATTAAAAATTATATGGTTCAAGCGATGACGAGCGTTTTAAATATTTCTTATTCGATTTCAGAGCATGTCGGTTAACAATGCTGCGTACGATTCACTTTGGTACATTTTGAAACCTAACGATATTCGCGTGATACTTCTTATTATGGTTCGATCGCAGAAGAAATTAACGATCTCTGCCGGGAAATTTACAGAGTTGTCTATGCAAGGCTTCGCTAGTGTAAGCTTCTCTTTTTTTAAATAATTTCAACACCATTCTACGGAATATGTATTATCTCGTTCGATTATTTTTCAATTATGGAGCCATGAAAATATTTTAGATGTTGAAGGCTTCTGTGTCCTACGTGTCGGTACTGTTTGCGATGTACTAATTGCAAAATATTTCTTACAATGAATACGAACGTTGCAATATTGTTGCAGACTGATAATTGGCAACGAAGGCCATGTTATATAAATCAATAAAAATCTGAAACGATAATCTCTGTGCATTCCTTTCTCGAACTGTTTTCTAAAATACAATCGTATTTTATTTTCGCGTAATACAATTTTCACATCGATTATATTAGCGATTTACAGAATGGTTGAGTTGCCCTCAATTTCTGAATTATTTTTCCCAAAATTATGTTAAGACGCTTAAAACAATTGCTTATTTTTATTAAATCTGACAAATTACGTCGAACATAGAAATGGCTAACATTAAACTTGAAGGCGTTATTTATTTTCAATTTTTTACTTTCTCTTTATTGTCATAAAAAATCGAAACTTTTTGTACGAGCAGGGTGAAACAACGTTTAATTCTTCAGTTTACTTCGACGAAGTATAAAGATATAAATATACAATGGGAATTTTAAGACGAAATTTTTACTTCGCAATGTTTTTCCTCCGCTTCCTTAAGTTCAGAATTTTCTTCAAGTTACGATCCGATCAATCGAATATGCGCTCACGTGCCGTGCATCGTGTATTTATTATGAAAATCATTCATACCGACAACAGATCTGAAACTACAATTTTGAACAACATCCTCCTCGGTGTTTTCTATACCCGGCGTGCTTGCAATCGCAAGAATATTATTTGAAATATTTATGTGGATCATGCGAACGCGAGGCGAATGGCTACCGCTCGCGTTTCCACAAACTTTTCAGTCTTTCGTTGAACGTTATTCGAGCACGTTTGACAGCGACAGCGCAACGCCTGATACGTTACCTTTTTTTTACACTGAAAGGGGTATTTAGAAGAGTACAAAGTGTGATAAATATTCGTTAAATGTGGATTACATTTTGCTGGCATTTGGTTTTTGTGAACCGTGTCCAGGTTTGCGCAAACTTTACTGGGCGACGTTCATGGCTATATTTAAAAAATATCGATACGGATACGTTATTGGAGCCTTCGCTTTTGGTGATGATAGACAATTTTGAGCAGTCTGGTTTGTATCAAATTAATTGTTGCTTGGATGTGTCACGGGTAAGTGGATCTTTCAAAGCTCTTTTTCCTATTTATGATAATTCACAAACGGAAATTTTGTTCCTCATTTTGGTTACTTCTTAGCAAGTTTCCTCTTTGTAAACTGTTCATCTGATATTTTCACATGTACATTTAATATAAGATACTTTTAATATTTTAATACTATAATTCTTCTTACAAGGAACCATCGCGAACGGTCCGGCTTCGATTTTGATGAAACTTTGTACACTTATAAAGCAGCCAAAAATAATCGACACGTATTTTTTTTTAGCTGCGGTAACTCGAGTTTAAGGGGTGAAACCACCCCTTGAAGTTTTGGCTCGAAACGGCTATCTCGAAAACGGAAAGAGATACAAAAAAATTGTTTAATGGGCGAGGTTGATGGTTTCTTATGTACAATAACATGGTGTTAAAAAATTTTTAAAAATACAATTTGTTTATAACAAAAATAAAATTTATTAACTTAATTTTTCATTTTATTGAAATTTTCATAATGACAAAAAATGACGAGCATTTTATTCCAAATCCATTGGTATGCGATTTTTTAAAATTGCTTCTTACAGTTTTGCAGATTTTGATGATTTACATCTTGCGCGCACATTCATTATGGTAGTAGCCGTTGTAACTTTGATTTTAATGAAGCACTGTAGGCTTGCACTAAATTATACAGTAATAAGTAGCGAGTAATAATAACAGTAACAAGTTTCTTAACAGCAACGAAAGGATTAATTATTTTTATTGCCCACCTATGACATCGTGGCAAAGGTGGAGCGATTTATAAATTATAAATATATGCAGTGTGTATAACAATTATTCTATATAGTTCCGACAATAGTGGTACTCGTCGAAAAAATGTTTGAAACATAAAGATTTCTTACACCATGCGCATTTAATTATTGCCACGTCACCGCAAATATGACATGTTGGCTCATTTTCAACAGAATAGCAGTACTCAACAGGATTCTGGAATGCATTTGGCTTTTCATCTATATATCCGGATTTATACCAGGAGTATTTAATAAAATTTTGGAACCTTGGCGATGAAAATTGATTGTGGACCAGAGATTGAAGTTTAATTATATTATTCCTAGGGTGGAGATTAATGTCGTGATTTAAAACGAGAACTATATCGGAAAATCGGCGGACGAAATTTTTCCAAGTGCGGAAACCGTAAACATCCAGTGGTTGAACATACTTTGTTCCACCTTTTGATATTATAAAAAGTTTTACATTTTTACCCTCGGGAGTAACTTCGTTCACCGTCTTCTTACAGTGACCACTCCAGGAATCAAGAATTAGAACTGTTGCGGCCCCAGTATTTGCAAAGTAAATCTCTCTTAACCAGGTCTTGAAATGGTCCGTAGTTAATTTGCCTGACTTTGAAGCTACAAGATATACATTGTCAGGGCGAAATAAATGTTGTTCCACAATCGGCCCGAAATGTCCTGTACTCTCTTTCAGTACAATAAATAATGGTGACAGTAATTGTCCATCAGCTGAAATGATTGGCTGGATGGTGTAACTATGAGTGGTGGATGACACTGATTGAACACCTCCTTCTACGATTTTTATACCTTCTTCAGCCAAAGTGCGCCCTGAATGTAATTCCAAATTAAAACCACTTTGATCGGAATTGTAAACATTGTGTGGTTCATTTCGGGCTATATATGATTTTACTTCATTCACGAATGCGCTGCATTGCAAATGAATATCGTCTTCTCGATTTACCATATTTGTGGTTACAAATCTGGTAATTTTTCTGGACACTAATCTAAACATCTTTTTAAAAGTATATAGCCAAGTATATCCGGCTTTAAATGTTTGTAAATTTTCTATGTCCCTCGCTTGTAAAGCCCATCGCCGTAGATCTACTTCATGCACAATTACTCTTAACTGCCGAACTTACATAAATGTATTAAATGTATACTCTGCAATACGTTTTATCTTTTCCTTGTTTGTGCCACCCTGTTCAACTTGTAAAGCCCATTTACGAAGCATTCTTTCGGATTTCACGTGACGGAATTTGGAACGTACGGTGTCTAATTTTAATCGCTTCGACTTCTCGCTGTTCCAGTACGCCACAGCTTTCCTTTTATATTCGAATGGGATGTATTCCTTATTCGAATGACATACAACGTCTTGTTCGTATATGTTTGGAATATTCAGTGTCCTATTTTCCTCCTCTTCATCTACCCACAACCAGTTCAAATCAGCATCCTGATTTTCTTGGTCGATAGGCGCCCCGTCCATTTCAACACACGTTTCATGTTCAACCAGGAATGCCGTGTCTTCGACACTTCTTACAATTAAATCGAATAATACATCCCTTAAATTTTCTTCTGCGCTATTAATTGGCGTGGGTCCCTGGTTCCACTCAACAAACGCAGCAGACAGTGAAGTTATTACATTAATAGGATTAATATTTACCATCTTTCCGAATACAGTAAAAGCTGGATATATGCAACAAAAGATTGGCTGGATAAGTGCAACGTTTAAATGCCCAGAATCGGCACCTCGGCTGTATGGATAACCAACAATGTTCTACACGCTTATAAAGAGCTAATTGCAATATATATATATATATATCCAAGTTCTCCCACTTATCTACCAACAAATATTATTTTCACATGACAAGGGCAATCAATTTAATTAACTTTACGATATGTCACGTTATCCAAAGGTATAATACAAACTCCATTTCAATATACCCATTTTATCATGTTTATTACAAAAACCGTCTCGATTTTAAAGAATGTTAATAACAACAGAGATACAGATGCACATACTAATCTCATTTGACACTAATTTTTATTATACAAATTACACAGAATGCTTTCACAACAGTGAAGATTTAGATAACGTGCGTAAACTGCATGATAGGCGAGCCGCAGAAATGACAATATTTATTTATTCAATTTGTATTTTAAAGCAAGTACATCATGAGAATAATAAGTGTATCTTTATCTCCTGGTATACACACTGTATGTATTTATAATTTATAAATCGCTCCCCCTTTGCCACAATGTCATAGGTGGGCATAAAAAAAAATCTTTTCATTGCTGTTAAGAAACTTGTTACTGTTATTGTTACTTGTTACTTGTTACTGTATAATTTAGTGCAAGCCTACAATGCTTCATTAAAATCAAAGTTAGAACGGCTACTACCATAATGGATGTGCGCGCAAGATGTAAATCATCAAAATCTGCAAAACTGTAAGAGGCAATTTTAAAATATTACATACCAATGGATTTGGAAAAGTTCGGCCACCCTTGGGAAAAATTTTAATGGGAGATTCTAGAGGCCAAAATAAGACGAAAATCAAGAATATCAATTTGTTGATTGAGCCTTCGTTAAAAAGTTATTAAAAAATTAAATTAAAAAATTTCAAATCCTCCAGAAAAAAATTATTTTCGGTTGCGGGGGCCAATTACAATCATTTTTGGTCAATACATATACCCACGAAATCCCACGCACTTTCGGGAAAAAAATTCCTAATCGAAAATGTAATTTATGGCCAGAAATGTTGTCCGAAAATTTCATGCGGATCTTTAAAATGTCATAACTTCTGAACGGATTGAAGGATTTTAATTTTCAAAAATGCAAACGACGCGTATTTTAATCAAGAATACGTAGAAATCGCAAAAATATGCAAAAAGTTGATCCTTGACCCCGCAAAATGAGAAAAACCCCATAAAAATGGTCCAATCTTCAAACAGCCATAATTCCTACAATAGTGAATATATTTCAATGAAACTTTTTTCTGAAGTAGAGCTCATAGGTACCTACAAAAAAGTATTGGCCAACTTTTTTGTAGGGCGTCAAACAAAATTATTAAAAATGAAAAACGAATTTTTAAGAAAAATCGACAGGGCGTAGGTGCCTAAATTTTTCAGCGAAAAAAAAAAATTTC